GTGCCCCGGGCTCTGAGGACATGTGCATACAAAATGGTCAAGACTCCTGATTTATTTTCTTGTCTTCCTCCTAAATTCCCTTCCATTGCCAGAGAAAGTGATTGCTAAACTCTCGGGTCCTTGAGCTGTTTTCAGTTTGCTTCAAGCATGATTACAATAGTAGCATCTCACAAAACAAAACAAAACAAAACAAAACAAAGGTAGCATGTCTATTATCTATTTATCCTCCCCATCTAAAAGTTTTCACTATATGATCCCATTAAAATTGTCTTTTTTTTTTTTTTGTCTCCAAATTAGATTAACTTGCTAATGACCCTTATAGTTCAAGGTTCAGGAAAGGAGCTCCCTCCTGTTCAATTTGTTTTATTGTTAATTCTCACTTGAGGATATTTTTTAAAAAATATTTTTATTGATTTCAAAGAGGAAGGGAAAGGAGAGAGATATAGAAACATCAATGAAGAAAATCATGGATCTGTTGCCTCCTGCACATCCCCCACTGGAGCTGGAGCCCACAACCCAGTCATGTGCCCTTGAATAGGAATTGAACCTACAACCCTTTTGTGCATGGGTCAATGCTCCATTGACTGAGTCATTCTGAATAGGGTTTTTATTTATTTATTTTTTCCTATTTTCTGTTCAGTTCATTTAAAAAATTATATATATATATAATTGATTTCAGAGAGGGAAAGATAGAATCATTGATCTGCTGCCGCCTCCTACTGGGGGTCAAGCCCACAATGCAGGCATGTGCCCTTGACTGGAATGGAACCTGGGACCCTTCAGTCTGCAGGCCGACACTCTATCCACTGAGCCAAACCGGCTAGGGCTCTGTTCAGTTCATTTTAAACTAGGAATATGTTTATGGGCCCTCTTTTGTATAATTAGGAATTGGTAAACCAGTGATGACCCAATATTGTAGTTTTCCTTTAATATATCTTTGGACTTTGCTGTCTTGAAATATCCAAGACCAAATCTGGAAAACTCCTATGCTGGCCATATGTTCACCTATGGGAAGATGAGACTTACATAAGACAAGCAAAATCTGGGACTCTTTCCAAAAATTGTACCAGGAAGACACTATAGATCCACAATATGGGCCTCTAGAGGAGACCTCGAAGGCACTTATAAAAGCCACTATGAGAAAACTCTTGGCAATTTTTAAGTACAGACCCTGATCCCTTCCCTAGATCATTTTGAGGTAAATTTAACTATGAACTGAAAAAAAAAAAATAAAAAATCCTGGCATGTAAAAATCCAGGTTGAAAGAAGATTAAAGGAATATATTTGAACAGTTACTCTGAAGAATTATTGGGAAATAAAATGCTCCCAGGGAAAAACACTGCTAGCCAATGTTCAGTCAGTTCAGCACTTAGAAATGATCTTTGGTATGTCAGACTCAAAATTGCTTTTGAAATCTCTCCAAAATTGTCTTTCCCACTCAGACTTCATGTCACCATCTAGTGAGTTGTGAAAACTCCAATTTTTCTTTAATGTCGTTTTTAAAGCTAAAATGCTAGGCCCTTTCCAAGACACACTCCATCTTGCCACTTATGATACATGGATGGCAGTAACCTTTTCCTCATGCAATACCGGAACCAAAACTTTATAGAGAAATCATCCATCTCAGGAAACTTGGAAAGACTATGAATATTAAAATATTGCTTTGCCCTGACCGATTTGGCTCAGTGGATAGAGCATCAGCCTGTGGACTGAAGGATCTTAGGTTCAGTTCCAGTCAAAAGCATGTACCGCCGAAACAGGTTTGGCTCAGTGGATAGAGCGTTGGCCTGCGGACTGAAAATTCCCAGGTCTGATTCTGGTCAAGAGCATGTACCTTGGTTGCGGGCACATCCCCAGTAGAGGGTATGCAAGAGGTAGCTGATCAATGATTCTCTTTCATTGATGTTTTTAACTCTATCCCTCTCCCTTCCTCTCTGTAAAAAATCAATAAATTATATATTTAAAAAAATTGCCTTATGAAGAGACCAAGCAAGCATGGTTCGCAGATTAAACTTCACAAAGAAAAAATATATAATAGGGCAACTCTGTTGCACAATAAGTAGAACTAAAGTTTACAGTCACCTCTTTGTTGTATACTCCTATCTCAATGACTTCATTGTACATATTAAGCTCAACCTTCTGCCAAATGCACCTTTTTTTTTTTTAAACCTACTCTTTTACTCTTTATAGAGTGGGATGATGATGGAAAATAAAATTTGGAGTAGAAATAAACAGCAGATAATAAACCATAATTGTTTTTAATCTTGAGGATGAGTCACCCTCAGTTTATTTCCAAATTTCTCTGTCATCAGCTGTTCATTTCTTTATTTTGAATATCATCAGATTAACACTGCCAAAGGCAGGTAGGAAATTATCCAAAAAGACTAATCAGAGGCATCACACAGTGAGTGGATGAAAAACTGGGAATGTAATAATCCTCCTTTTTTGTTCTAGTGAAACCACAATGTATGAACTTAAACTTTCATGATTCCAATCAGTGTTTTTTATATTAGTACTAGTGGCCTGGTGCATGTAATTCGTGCGTAATTCGTGCATGGAGGGGGCGAGGGAAGGGAGCAGTCCCTCAGCCCAGCCTACACCCTCTCCAATCTTGGACACTTTAGGAGATGTCCAACTGCTAGTTTAGGCCCGATCCCTCTCACAATCCAGGACCGCTGGCTCTTAACTGCTCACCTGCCTGACAGCCTGATTGCCCCCTAACCACTCCCCTATTAGCCTGATTGAGGCCTAATCGCCAAACAACTGCCCTCCCCTGCTGGCCTGATCACCCCCAAAGCTTTTATTAGTTTAGATAATGTCTGTCTGTCACTTTGCATATAAGATATTCAAATAGGTCTAACTTCAAAATTAATTTCAAGTCAAATTATATATTCTTTTTACCTCTTCTTTTTAATGCTTTCATATGCCTTCCTTAAATCTTCCTTTGGTATAAGGAATTTCAAAGCTGAATGGTCAAACAGACATTCTAATATCACAATCGTAAGAAATGTGATTGATCTGTGATGTGAGCTGTCAAAATCTGAGTGAGTCTTCTGTTCATTAGTTTGTTTCCTTTTTTGTTAATCCTCCCCTCAGGATATTTTTTTCATTGATTTTTAGGGAGAGTGGAGAGAGAGAAATGTCAATGTGAGACATTCCTTGGTTGCCTCCTGCACAAGTCTTGACCAGGGTCAGGGCTGGGGAAGAGTCTGCAACCAAGGTACATACATACTCTTGACTGGGATCAAAACTGGGACCTTTTGCTCTGAAGGCCAAGGCTCTATCCACTGACAAAACTGTTTGGCTAGAGCTATCCATCAATTTATCAGGGTGTTCAGATCTGCTGTAAAGTATATGCTTACGCCCAGCTGGGTGTAGCTCAGCAGTTGAGGGTCAACCCAGGAACCAAGAGGTCACCAGTTCGATTCCTGATCAGGGCATGTGCCCAGATTGTGGGCTCAATCTCCATTGTGGGGCCATGTAGGAAGCAGCCAATCAATGATTCTCTCTCATCATTGATGTTTCTCTCTCTCTCCCTTCCTCTCTGAAATCAATAAAAAATGTTAAAAAATATATATATAAGCTTACTACCCAATATTTTATTTATATATGACTTGTCTTCCTTAAGTAGATTAGGTTCTTAAACCCATTCAACCTCTAACTCCTACTCAGGGTTGGAAAAAGGAGATTGCAATCCAGATGTTCCCCCTAGTACCTAGGTCCGAGTAACAGTCCAATCACTGAAGAAAGACTAAAGATAGAGGTTTCAGACTGTCCCTAACATCTTTCTTGATTTGTTTTTAAATACATTTAAAAAACATTTTATTGATTTTTTACAGAGAGGAAAGGAGAGGGATAGTTAGAAACATCAATGAGAGAGAATCATCGACCAGCTGCCTCCTGCTCACCTCCTACTGAGGATGTGCCCACAACCCAGGTACACGCCCTTGACCAGAATCAAGCCCGGGACCTTTCAGTCTGCAGGCCGACGCTCTATCCACTGAGCCAGATTGGTTTTGGCTTGAAATACATTTTTATTGCTTTTATAGAGGAAGAGAGAGGGAGAGATAGAAACATCAATGATGAGAGAGAACCGCAAACTGTGATCTCCTGGTTCACAGGTCAATGCTCAGCCATTGAACCATGCCAACTGGGCTGTTGGTTTTTCTTTTCTTTTCTTTCTTTTTTCTTTTTTAAAATATATTTTATTGATTTTTTTTACAGAGAGGAAGGGAGAGGGATACAGAACTAGAAAGGTCGATGAAAGAGAAACATCGATCAGCTGCCTCCTGCACACCCCCTACCGGGGATGTGCCCGCAACCAATGTACATGCCCTTGACTGGAATTGAACCTGGGACCGTTCAGTCTGCAGACCGATGCTCTATTTACTGAGCCAAATCGGTTTCGGCTATTTTTGTTTTTCTTATTTCTTAACATCTTCTTAAATATACAAGTATGCAAACTCAGATTACTAGTAGACATTTACCTGTCAGAAGACCATTCTCAAACTTAAAGTTACTTTAAAAAGTGTTTTTATTATTTTAGAGAGAGAGGAAGAGGAAGAGATAGTAACATCAATGATGAGAATCATTGATTGGCTGCTTCCTGCACACTTCCTACTGAAAATGGAGCCCACAGCCTGGGCATGTGCCCTGACCAGAATGCAACTGTTAACTTCCTAGTTCGTGGATTGATGCTCAACCACTGAGCCACACCAGCCGGCTATAGTACTTTTTACACTTGCCTCAAATTATGCCTATCTAGGCAGCAAAGTAGAAAAGTTAAAATGCCACCCAAATAATTCAGGAAAAATAAATATTGTTTTCATTTGAAATCTCCAGATAATTGAAACAGAAAGAAAGTGTTCTGGCTAGATGCCATTTTCTCCTTTGCTTTGAGGTTGTAGGCACAATCATAAATGTCTGCAACCATGAGCTGTCAAGTAACTGAGGCTCAACCTGGAGTTCAATGCATAGTAGGGAAGTGTTGTCCTAGTTTCTTAGTTAATATTAATAGAAATACAAATGAATCAAAATGTTCTGGTATAGCCACAACTCTTCTAAAAAACACACAGATTAAATGTCAATTCGTGACAAGTGTCCACACTTAGTCATGCTAGATGATGGTACTGTGTAGAGGCTGGTGAGGGAGAAAGTTTGTCATAGCTCCTTCTGGGAAGTCCCCCCCCCCCCCCCCTTCACATTAGCTAAAATGAGTGAATATCAGCTCCTGACGGATCCGGTCAGCCTCTAGGTCCAGGGACTCCATGTGCTCATACTCTTCCTCAGGCGGTTGTTCCATGGGTCCTGTCATCGGAGAAGACCAAATATCCATTCCATGCTCCAAGGAGATGTTGTGGAGGACACAACAAGCCAAGATGATGTGGCTGGACTTCTCTGGTGAGTACTGTAGAGCCCCCTTGGACCCATCCAGGCAGCGGAATCGGGAGCAGAGGGTTCGGAAAGTCTTTTCAATCACACTGTGAGTTGCAGAATGGGCCACATTATAGCGATATTCAGCTGGAGTTTCATGAATGTGAAGTGGTGTCATAAGCCAGGTACGGAGAAAAAAGGAACTGTCACCTGTGGGGAAGGCCCAAATAAATCATAAATGATCATAGTTGAAATACAAACAAAAAGGAAAATCCAGGAACATATACAGAGAATGGACAACAGCCTCTGGAGCCAATGGACAACAGAAAAACCAAGAGGAAAATGCTCTGGTAAAGAGAAGGCATGCCAGAGTCACAAGCAGATAAACACAAATCTTTTTTTTTTTTTTTAACTACTTTATTTAAAAATATATATATTTTATTGATTCTTTACAGAGAGGAAGGGAGAGAGATAGAGAGCAAACGTCGATGAGAGAGAAACATTGACCAGCTGCCTCCTACACACCCCCACCGGGGATGTGTCCGCAACCAATGTACATGCCCTTGACTGGAATCGAACCTGTGATCTTTCAGTCCGCAGACCGACGCTCTACCACTGAGCCAAACCGGTTTCAGCTTGGCACGAATCTTACTTAGCTGGGAATATCCTTGGTTAAAACCAACAGAGATGCCCTAACTGGTTTGGCTCAGTGGATAGAGCGTCGGCCTGCGAACCGAAGGGTCCCAGGTTCAATTCCGGTCAAGGGCATGTACCTTGGTTGCGGGCACATCCCCAGTAAAGGGTGTGCAGGAGGCAGCTGATCAATGTTTCTCTCTCATAGAGGTTTCTAACTCTCTATCCCTCTCTCTTCTTCTCTGTAAAAAAATCAATAAAACTTAAAAACAAACAAACAAACAAAAAACAGAGAAAAAGGCTGATAGCTAAAAAAAAGCCAAATCTGAAAAAAATGTAGGAAGGAGGTGAAAGCACTGGAGGAAATAAAATTCCTGGTAATAAAAAGTTAGTAAAAACTATCACAAACAAACCTTCAAAATCTCTAAAGGGCTAACACGCCAGAGAGATCAAGAGAATTCTGCCACAAAATCTCAAAACATTTGTGAAAAATTTTCTAAATTTTACCACTAAAATGTCAGGTCTGAATGTATTACCTAGGGATTCCAGAGTAATTTATTATAATTCATTCTGCTAAGAATAAAAGTTCCAGCGTCTGTGGTAGAGACCAGAACTTAGATGTCCTGCCTTCCTACATTTCTTTGTAACAGGGGAACTTGTAGAACTTCATATTAACAAGTAGAGCATAAATCTGATGATGCAAATAATAACAGTGATGAAGAAATAAAATCAGAAGTCAATTAAAATAATGTATAGGAAGCATTTCCCTTAGGTAACCTATCAAATGATCTTGGGAAGTGCTAAAAATAAAACAAAAACTGGGATGCAATGTCCTAACACAACAGTACAATGTTTCTATAATGTTTAATTGTCCTGACTCATTACATCTGGCAGATGAAATGTCTCACAGAAGCACAACCACTTAGAAATCTGAGACAAACAGGCCCTCGCTGTACCAACTTGCCTAATTGTTGTCCTGACTCACCATTAATTTCAGTAAATAGTTATAGAGAATACTAGGCACTGTTCCAAAACATATAGCAGCTTACATTTTAGGAGCTTACATTCCTAAGAACTGGATTATCTTTGCTTTTAAAAATACTTTTTATACTCTGGTCAGGTAGCTCAGCTGGTCAGAGCATCATCCAGGTACCCCCAGGTTGTAGGTTCCATGGTCAGGGCATGTACAAGAATCAACCGATGAATGCATGAATAAGTAGAACAACAAATTGATGTCTCTATGTGTGTGTTATTAATCAAATAGTTTTTAAAAATAAAATATTTTTGTAATGAAAAAAATGTTATCCTAGCTGAAACCTGTTTGGCTCAGTGGATAGGGCGTCGGCCTGCGGACTGAAGGGTCCCGAGTTCGATTCTGGTCAAGGGCATGTACATTGGTTGCGGGCACATCCCCAGTAAGGGGGTGTGCAGGAGGCAGCTGGTCGATGTTTCTCTCTCATCGATATTTCTAGCTCTCTCTTCCTCTCTGTAAAAATCAATAAAAATATATTTTTAAAAAATGTTATCCTATATAATCCTATGTAATAAAAGGGTTATATGCAAATTGACCAAATGGTGGAATGACCGGTCACTATGATGCACACTGACCACCAGGGGGCAGACGCTCTCTGCAGGAGCTTCTTCCTGAGTATTGCTCAGCCAAAGGCTGGGCTGACACTGGTGAGTGCAGGGGAGGTGGCCAGAGCCTCTTCCACCTTCGAGGCAGCACTAAGGATATCCAACTGAGGCTTAGGCCTACTTCCCGGACTACTAAAGGGTGCAGGCCGGGCTGAGCGACCCCCCTCCCCACATGCACGAATGTCATGCACCGGGCCTCTAGTTGAGATATAATTGACATACATTGATTGTATTAGTTTTAGGTGTACTAGATTAACTTTAAATATTTGAAATCCCACAAAAATTTTCAAATTTTATATTTGGCTGCCCTTTTTCCTATTTGTCCTAAGTACAATCTAATTTAATTGAACCCCCTCCTACTAAATACTCTACTTAAGAAACTTATGTAACCTAGTTGGTGTTGCTTAGTGTTGCCATATGAACCAGGAGGTCATGGTTTGATTCCAGGTCAGGGCACATGCCCGGCTTGTAGGCTTGATCCTCAGTGTGGGGCTTGTAGGAGGCAGCCGAGCTGATCAACGATACTCTCTCATCATTGATGTTTCAATCTCTTTCTCCCACACCCTTCTTCACTGAAATCAATACAAAGAGTTTTTAGCTGAGGTCTCAAAAAAAGGACAGATCAGAGACTCCCGTATTTCATTTACTCTGCTACAAAATCCTGTGGCTACAGAATTAAGCATTTCCACCTGCAAACTTACCAAGCAGCCAGCTCTCTTTGTGCATGCCAGCTTCGAACCGGCTACTGAGAGAAGACTGCTGCAGCACAGCACAGTCCTGCAGGCTGCCTGGCCAGTTTGTTTCCACAGCCATTAGTGCGCCTCTGATGTCACAAACCATCAGGCAGTTTAAAGAATGCAGACCTTTGCGGTTCACGTAGGAGAGGTCTTCAGCATTTGGTGCCTTGATTGCCACATGGATACAGTCAACCACTCCTATTACCCCTGGCATCGCAGCCAACCCATAGAATTCATCCTTCAGAGCCTGGATGGAGGCTTCGCCAGCTGGAAAGCGAATGAACTGCGAGGCTCTTTCCACAAGCGCTTCGGTGACGTTGGCAACACATCGACTCATAGATGCCTGGCTGATTCCTATAGCATCTCCCATCCGAGTTTGGAAGGAGCCTGACGTATAGAAACCCAGTGCTGCGAGGATCTGTGTCTCTGGGCTAATAGCCCTGGATCTCTGAGTAGGTCTAGAAAGACTCGCTCCCAAGAGCTCCACCAAATAATAAATAAACTGTCGCGGAAACCCATACATGGACATCAAGTAGTCATCGGTCACATCATCCAACTTAAAACGGTCCAATGTCCGGTGACCTCGGCCATACAGTAAGAGGTCGCAATCAAGCACTGTTATAGGTATAGCCATGGTACATGTGTTGATCTCTTTTCCACTGCTATTTTTCCCGAATTCTTCCCAGTTAGGACCTTGGTGCAGGAAGGTATTTAAAAGAAGTGTCAGAATTCAACAGCTAACCATCAGTTAAATGGCTCTGGCATTTATAATCTTCTCTCTGTAAAGGTCAAAAGAAAAAAAACACACAAAACACATTAGAAACCACCAAAGACTTTAAAGTGATTCTAAGGTTACAATAATTCCTCTTCTATAAATTTCTATGTTGTTCAAGCAAAAGGTGCTATACTTGTATCTCTAGGTTTTTCTCCACTAACTTATGGCTTCATGACATGGTGGCTTATTTTCTCCCTGGCATTTGAACTGAGAAGAGCCAAAGATTAATGGAGGTGATGGCATAATTATCCACGAGGTAAAAGAGGTCTGCTCCTAACGATACAGGCCACGAAGGAGTTGACTTAAGGGCAAGGGATTAGTCACGGCGGCGGTTTTCTTTACCCAAAGCTCTCTGGCTCCCCCTGATAAAGTACTGGATGGGGGGGGGGGGGGGGGGGAGGGAGGAGTGCTCAAACCGGTCTAACAAGGGAGAAAGAGGGGGGAGGAGGGAAGGAAAACCACTCACGACCCTGGCTGATGGAGGTGGGTTATGCGCTCTAACAATCGTGAGGCCTGAGGCCGAGGGGCTAGGAAATAGAGAGGAACCAACAAGTTAGAAGCAATGTGCGAAAGAAGACGCTGAGAGAGCTAGGGCTGGGAGTCGACTAGCGCCGCTTTTAAGAGGCGCCTTAAAGACGGAAAAGGAATATTCTGTAAACCTGAGTGCGGCGGCTACCCAAAGTGAGCTAAAAGTCCGTCGGCTATTCAAAAGTCAGCTAAAAGTCCGTCACCCACCTCTCGGAGGCGGCCAGGTGACCAGCCACATTCCCCGCCCACCCAGCCTGGTTCCGCCCTCCCCCGGAACCGGCAGTCGCGCACAATCCGCCACGCTGCTCAGCACAGGCCCCGCCCCCTCTGCGTCAGCGTCCGCCCCACGCCGCGTCCTCGCCGGTCCCTGCCGCAGTGACTTGCGATTCGGCCGCGCACATTCCTCACGCGGCCCACATGTTCTAGCTCTTTCACAGACCCCGTTCTTCACGCTTTTATTTTCTTCTGAGACGCCAGGAAATATTGGCCATCAAGGCATATGGAAAAAAAATACATTTTTATGTGAATTTCGAAGAGGAAAGAGATTAACTAGGGCGTTCCTGTGTAGCGAAAGTGCGGCTGAAGTTAGGCGGCTGTATTTCCCCCGTAGCCCTCTTCCTCCCCCCGCGATCACCGAAGCAGATGAAAACAAACACTAACGATGGCGGCGCCGGGAAGCGGCCGGCCGAAGGACTTAAAGCAGGAGTGATCGCTTGAGTTGTGATGAGACTTCAAGAGCTCCGGTCGACGTGTGGGCGACGACTCGCTCAGTCTTGAGAGAGAATACCTGGGGGTCTTCGATCCACGAGCCTGCTGAGGGGTGAACTGTCTGCGACCCGGGCTGTCACTACTGGTCCGGAGCGCAGAACCCTCGGCCGGGAGGCGCAGCTGGCCGGCCCCAGGCCCCTGCCTCCGTAATGAGAGCCCAGAGCCACTCTTTGTGTTGCAGCTTTGCAGGTACTAACTTTGGAGGGCATACCCCCAGACCTGTCAGCGCCCCCGGGTGGGAAGCTATGGATCTGCGGCGTGTCGGGGGGGGGGCCTCCTTGGGAAGCTGAAACTGACCACCCACAGTTCAGTCCCCTGAGCGTTCTCTGGGAAGTCGGGTTGGGCTACATTGCCCTTTGATCGTTACCAGTCTTGACAAAGGTCCCAGAGCTTTCATCTATACTTTCTCAGTTCCTTGGGTTAAGTCCTAAAGGGTTTTGGAGATAATTTTGGGCCCATAACTCCGGGGTTGGGTACCAATGTGAATTTGGTTAGATTTTCATTCAATCAAGATTTGCTGAGTGCCAAATATGTACTCCGCGTGTAGGTGAGGGTGACTGTTGACTAGTGAAAAAAGGGACCCAAGGTTCACGACTATCTTCTTACTGGCAGTGGAACGACCTGAGGAAACCTGCGATCCATTCTCATTAAATAAATCGCTGGGTAAGTGCTAAGCACCTTCCTGGGTTCATCACTAACTCATCTCCGTTTTCACTTTCTCAGCCAGTTTTCAGTTTTCCTGGTCAGTTCAGCGTAGCATTTCATTTTCAGTGTTTCTTCCTCTCCTGGGCATCCTACCTCTAGAAAGAGGAAAAAGGGAGAGAGATCAGGAGAAGGAATGCGAATGAATGAATATTAAAGAAAAAAAAGTACCTGTTTTCTTATTTTTAGTTTAAAACTCATCTCCTAAGATGGTAGAATCTTATTGAACACCTTTAATGGGAGATGTGCAGTAGTAAGAAACAATAGGTCCTTCCCTTACACTAAGCTAACGTCCAGATTTTCATGTGTTGTTTTATGAGAGTTCTTTTCATGTGTGGGTAGTGTGGCTCCAACTACATTACAATTTTTTTGTCTTCAACTTCCTTTTCCACAAGCATTTATAAGAGCAGAAGTCTTATAAACGTTTGTAGAATGGAATCCTGAGTTAATATTTTCAGTACACAATGGATGATGAATAAGTGCTGGAGCAAGTGTCACATATATTGATTTGTATAGTAAAACACATGTAAATTTATTCACTGTTCCCAAATTGTATGCCTTTGGGTATAAAATTAAGGAGACTGGGCAACTTTTGAGATTTACATTTCATAAAATTTGCAAATCACTGTGTTTTCCATTACTCTACTTACACCTAACAATAATTATTGAGTACTTGCATTTTTTTTTGTCCTCAAGAGTGGTTATTAAAATTGAAGCAAAAACTGCAAGTCTTCAACTATTAAACACTCCAAATTATAATATTTTATTTAGGGACTAAATCAGTTGGACACAGAGGGATCCTACCATAGTACTGGAGTTGTACTGAATTGAAGTGGGGGCAATAAATCTTTTTCCTTATTATCTTTCCTGCTCCCATTCACCCAACTGCATTAGCTTATATTTTCCATGATGACTCAGCAGGGTGTCTATACCTTAAATGCAAAAAATAGCCTAAGACATTATCTTTTGAGCTTCCAAAGACTAAAGTGTTACTATATAAGTGATTTTTCAAGACTATTCTTTACTATTTTGAAAAAGTACCCACTGTAGAATTTATTGCACCTTCTGGAAAAAAGTTTTTTAATCTTAGGAATGCCTAGAAGTCCCTAAAACTTTGTTTTTAAATATTTATTTACTTTAAAAATAGTTTTTACTTTATCACAGAAGAGATGAATAATTACATTCATAACTGTGTTTGGAGAGCTGCTTAGATCACAGAGAATGAAGAGTACACTTAAATTCCTCACTGTTACTCTGGGGAGGGAGGGTATGGATGGGGGGGAATCAATAAAATATATTAAAAAAAAATGAAATAAAAAATAAAAAAAAATTCCTCACTGTTATGACCTTTTATTATTCAACTTAGTTTCTTGTTTTATACAGCAAAAACCAGGAAGTTTTACTAAAGGTGGGCCAGAGTTGTATTTATCCCTGGTGCTTGGCTGGATTTAGATAAGGAAACCCACCCCCTGGCACCTGTGGTGAAGGTCCAAGCTGACAACACTACCACCTCTGGCAAGGTGTGTTTCCAGGAGGTGGCTCTACCTACACCACTGGATTCAGCCAACGATAATTAAAGAAATGCTCACGTGCTTGCCCTGGAGCTCTCTACAGGATTAAGATTCTCAGTGAAGGGCATGTACCTGGTTCCAAGTTTGATTCCTGGCCCTGGTCAGGGTTCCCAGTTCAGGGTTCCCTGTTCAGGGTACATGTGGGAGCCAACCAATTGATGTGCTTTGTCTCTCTCTCCTTCCCTCCCTCTCCCCTCCTTTCCCTCCCTCCCTAACTGCCTCCCTCACTTCTCCTCTCCTCTCTCTCCCTTCCCTTCCCTCCCTTCCACTATTTTAAAATAATCTGTGGAAAAGATATCCTGGGATAAGGATTAACAAAACAAAAACAAAAATTTATAGCTGTTACCTTTTTCAGAGATTATCACTACTCAGTGTCCCTTTTAATCTCATTTCATAACTTTTGACCTGGAATTCCGTTATAAATACTTCTGCTTTCTTTTTGTCCTTTTTCTTTCCTCTTCCTCTTTTTTTTTTTTTTTTTTTTTTTTTTTAACTGAGTATATCTGCTTATTTCTTTACTTTTAAATTTTCTCTGTAACTCTTTTAGGTATGAAGATGATTTCAGTTTTTAAACTTTGGTGTTTCTCATTTGTCTACAAAGAACTTTCTAAATGGAATAAAGGATCTTTGTAATTTAATAATAACTCTGATGCCTGAAGTGGGGAAATGACTATTTTTTTCAGTTTGCACTTGAATTTAACTATTTGTTAACGGTTTCAAATGTACAATATTGAGCTTTTTAGTTATTTATTTTTAAAATACATTTTTATTGATTTCAGAGAGGAATAGAGAGGGAGAGATAGAAGCATCCATGATGAGAATCATTGATCGGCTGCTTCCTGCACACTCCATACTGGAGATCGAGCCTACGACCTGGCATGTGCCCTTCAGTCAGATGCTTTTTCCACCGAGCCAAATGGACTAGGACATAATATTGAGCTTTCTAATGCCTGAATCCAAAACATTAAAAAATATAGTTAAAAATTAGAAAATATAGACATTATATAATCTCCTGCCAAATCATTCAGTGGTTTCTTTGAAATTATTTACTCTTCCCTTCATTTTTTGATTTGTCACCTTAACTTACACATCCAGTGTGTAAATAATCCCATATGATTTTAATAATGGTAGGATTACTAAAATAGCTTTCTCACTGGTTGCTCTGCTTTTAGTCTCCTTATTTAATTTCTCCTCTATATTCAGATAAATGTCCCTAAATCTACTTATAGAATAATCTACATTGACTCCCTTCTAAGGTACTATTAGATTCTCTATTGCTCACTTTCAAGACTCCCTAGTAATGTGGCCAGGCCATACTTATCTCCTTTTTTTTTCCCCCCTCTACATGAAAATTCTCAGCTATATATTTTTCTAATTTTGCTTCTCCTCTATCCTTTCTTTTCTTCTTTTGGGATTCTCATTACACATGTTAGACCTCACTGTGTCCTCATGAGGTACCTTCATGTCTCATTTTACACTCGATGCCATGGGATGATTTAATTATTTATTTATTTTTAATATATTTTATTGATTTTTTACAGAGAGGAAGAGAGGGATAGAGAGTTAGAAACATTGATGAGAGAGAATCATCCATCAGCTGCCTCTTGCACACCCCCTACTTGGGATGTGCCCGCAACCAAGGTACATGTCCTTGACCGGAATCGAACCCGGGACCCTTCAGTCCGCAGGCCGACACTATCCACTGAGCCAAACCGGTTTCAGCGGATGATTTAATACTTTAAATACTGTCCTTTTTTCTCTCAAAAGTATCCCAAAGGTGTATAGTATTTGTTTTGTGTTTCTTTTATGCTTGGTCTCTATTTCCTAACCTTTTGCCACTCTGTACATTATTCTGAATATATTATCTTCCGGCTCTTTCAATATTGTATCTTCTGCTGGTCTAATCTGTTAGATTCAACCTTTGACTCTTCATTTAGTGTTTTTAGTTTTAGAATTTCTGTTTGGTTCCTTCTATGCTTCCTAGTTCTCCATTAAATTCTTAAGTTTATGCTTTATGTAATTGAATATATTAGGGGTAGTAATTTAGAGTCTGAGTCTGATAACTATTAATATGTTTCTAATTTCTAATGTCTGTGATCTGTTGGAATTTGGTTATTTGGGTTTATCTCCATGAATGGCAAGTTTATTTTAATATGTGCCAGATATCTATCTACCGTGTTTCCCCGAAAATAAGACATCCTCCGAAAATAAGACCTAGCGCATGGAAAGAAAAGACATCCCCTGAAAATAAGACCTAGCACATCTTTGGGAGAAAAAATTAATATAAGACACTGTCTTATTTTCTGGGAAACGGTATATATAAAAGGCTAAGCAACCGTCCCGCTGGCTGGTAGGTATGATGCACACTGACCACCAGCGGGCAGACTCTCAATGCAGGAGCTGTTGAGCTGTGGTGACTTGGTAGCAGCGGTTCTTATGTGACACACCCTGGAACCAGAGAGGAAGGAGCCTGATTCTGGGGTGCATCACCAGAGAAGAAAACTACCCTCTCGCAATCTGGGACCCTTTGAGGGATGTCAGAGAGCTGGTTTTGGCAGGATCCCCACAGGCCAGGCCGAGGGACTCCACCTGCCAGAGGGACCCTGCTCACTCTGCAGACACCCTTCAAGCCACAGCACTGCCCTAGGTGCAGCTGATGGGGGAAGAACCACAGGAGGTTGGCTCCAGGACATGTCTGGGCCTTCTCGCTTAGTCCAGACCCGCTGACCACCTTCTAATTAATTTTCTTTCAATGTGCAGGAGTCTATGCACCGGAGTAAACATTAGCCTGACTAGCATAGCTCTGTAATTGAGCATTGACCTATGAACTAGGAGGTCATGGTTTGATTCACGATCAGAGCACATGCTTGATCTCCAATGGGAGGCATATAGGAGACAGCTTGATCTGATTGCAGTTATAAGAGTTTATACAAATAAAAGTATTTATTGAGCTGTCTAAGAGTTTTGCATTTCATTGCATGTAAGTTATACCTCAGTAAAGAACAGTGGATTATGGCTTTTATATATATACTTGTACTCATTACTTCCTATTTCAACTCTCCTGTTGTCTATACCTTTCCTTTAAAATCAGCTTTCCCCCCCAGCCAGTTTGGCTCAGTGGATAGAGTGTTCACCTGCAGACTGAAAGTTCCCAGGTTCAATTCCAGTCAAAGGCACATGATTGGACTGTGGACTCCATCCCTAGTAGGGGGCATGCAGGAGGTGGCTGATCAATGATTCTCTCTCATCATTGATGTTTCTCTCTCCCTCTCCCTTCCTCTCTGAAATCAATAAAAATATATTTTTAAAAAAATATTAAAAAAAAAAACAGCTTTCCTCTGGCTTCCCTGTTTTTGTTTGTTAATTGAAACCCTGTTTTTGTAGTCAGTCCTTAAATCCTTTAACATGTTAATCGCCCATCAGTCACAGGTAACTGACACTATACTTCCGAGCAGAAGACAAAACAGGCTGGGCCCTTAATGTGTTACAATATCTCCCATCTATACTGTTTCCAAATCATTGTAACTAAAGTGTTAGTTAGCCTTGCCCACAGTCTGAATTATTGCCAAGAACCTAATTGGTTTTCCTGCTTTTCATATTCAAAGCTATTATACAATATGTCAGCAAAGCTGTGTTTCTAAAGCACCATTCAGACGATACTACTACTCTGTTATTTCCTCTCTTCAAAAGCCTACTAAGTACAGATCAAGCTCTGACATTGCATTTAAGACTCTCACGGTCTGGCCCCAACCAGTCATACTACTTCCTCATCCATACACAATCCTCTGAAAAACTGGGATACTTTATCATTCTAAAGCCATTTGATCTCTGTTGCTTTAAACCTCTTTGTACATGTTCTTCTCTCGCTAAATGCTTTCTTCCTCATGGCAGCTCCATTTAAGTCTGTTCAACCTGAGGGTGTTATGACCTGCTTCAAGAAATCCATGAACCCTTTGCAAATGTTCCCATATATGTACTTTTTTTTTTTTTTTTTTTTGAGAAAGGGCTTATCTTGCCATCGGGCTCTCAAAAAAAAGTTCATAAACCTCCCTAAAGTTAAACTGATTTAGTGGCCTTTTGAAGGAATGTAAATTAATTTTATGCTTTAACAAAGTTTTTATAAAATTTCGTTCTTAATATGCTGGATAATAAGACATTTTTTTAAAATATATATATTTTATTGATTTTGTACAGAGAGAAAGGGAAAGAGATAGAGCGCTAGAAACATCGATGAGAGAGAGTCATCGATCAGCTGCCTCTTGCACACCCCCTACTGGAGATATGCCTGCAACCAAGCTACATGCCCTTGACCGGAATCGAACCTGGGACCCTTCAGTCCCCAAGCCAACGCTCTATCCATTGAGCCAAACCGGTTTCGGCATAAGACATTTTTTAATACATTATATTTAAAGCTCAAAGATTCAGATTCGGATAAAATGTCTTATCCTCATTCATTTTTTAGGTCTTTAGATTTAGTTCTTTGTATAGAATTTATTTTCCTCAAAAGATATTATCATAATATTTTTTTCACTTTGGCTCTTTAGTTAGAGGGGAATTTTTTCTCTTTCGTACATGACTAGTCATACAGCTCGTAATACTATCTCTGTGTGCTTTGATGTAGCTATCCCTTTTAAAAGATATAGTCACATTTTAAGCATTTTTTCTGTTTTAGATTCCCATAGGCAATGGAAACTGATATCAATTCCCAAGACAGAAAGGACCTGGACAAGTTCATTAAATTTTTTGCCCTCAAGGTAATATCCATTCTCTTGAGCCTAGAACTGTTGGAAATAACTTCCGTGCTTTTCCCTTTTTGGAAACACAGCATAACAGCTTGCAGCTTACCCATTCTGATGGATACTCTATCTGTTGTAAACTAAACTGTGAAGTTTGGGGGTGGTACTGGGGGTGTAACTAAAAAGTAGCTTCCAATTTTCCACAGCTACTTGTTAAAAAAAATTTTTTTTTTTTTGCAAGCCTGTTTGCAGAAATGTCAAACTATTATACCAGGTTATTGGCACAGTATGTTCCCTTGGGGTGGGAACAAAGACTGTGGACCGGAATGGATAGCCTTTTGGGCATCTTTCCCTAAACATCACAAAACTGAAACATCTTTCATTAATTGTTCCATTCTGGTAAATGAGGAATTAAAACTGAATTTTGAATGCTTTAGAAGTTCTTTTTTTCTAAATCTAAAAATTATTTCCACTCCTTCCTCTCAAACATTGCCATGTAAGAATAATTCACGCAATAGATTATGGTTGTAAAATTAGTTGGAAGACTTTTGCCATATGGGCCAAAGATAGGAATAATTGTGGAATCCTTGGTTTAAATCTACTAGGATTACATAAGTGTATGGCAATGAATATTTACACCTACTGTTTCTTTATGAAAGTCAGAGCCTCCATGTGCAACTTCCTTCTGCTATGTGAGAACATCGCAGGTTCTAAGTCTCCAACTAATTCCTCTAATTGGTTGACACTGTGTCTTTGGGAATATTTACAGTATCCTTTTTGTATAGTGTTTTTTCTATCTGTTCTTGAATATTTTGAGTTTCTAAATATAGTTATAATTATTGGCATCTTTTAAAACCTGCTTTGTAAGGATTTTAATCCTGATTGGGAAGCAAACCAATTTAAGATTTTTCATCATAGATTTTTTTTTTTTTTTGTATTTGTTTTTTGTTTTTTTTTAGACTGTTCAAGTGATTGTCCAGGCTCGACTTGGCGAGAAGATTTGTACTCGTTCATCTTCATCCCCAACGGGTTCAGATTGGGTAAAATTTCTATTCTTTGCTAAGGGGTATACTGCGGTGTTTGTTACAAGGAATCCCAGTGCAGTAATAAGGGATACTGTTTATAGTATTACTAAAGCATAACATTAAAATATCTAATTCCATTTGATTCATTCACTTGGAAAGTATGTTTTTCATTGAATGTTAGTCCTGGATTTGGTTCTTGGCTTTCTGCTGCTTTAGGTGAAAAGCTTAGTTTTTAAAAAACAAAAATATCTTGTTACTAATTTTTGTCCTAGGTTGTTAGCAGTTTCAAGTTGAGCTTTGGAGCTTTTCTTTCTTTCTTTTTTTAATATATTTTATTGATTTTTTTATAGAGAGGAAGAGAGAGGGACAGAGAGTTAGAAACATCGATGAGAGAGAAACATCGACCAGTTGCCCCCCCGCACACCTCCCATTGGGGATGCGCCCATAACCAAGGTACATGCCTTTGACCAGAATTGAACCCGGGACCCTTCAGTCTGCAGGCTGATGCTCTATTCACTGAGCCAAACCGGTTTTAGTGAGCTTTGGAGCTTTTATGCAGGATACCTCTATGGGGAAAGAAAAAGTGAATGAGTGTTCTTAACCAGTCAAAGCAGTGCCTTCATTACCCAACGTACAGTCTGTCTGCTTTATGTTTCTATAATGCTTTCTGTGAGTGAAAAGTCCTTTTTGTTTTCCAGTTCAATTTAGCAATCAAAGACATCCCAGAGGTTACACATGAAGCAAAGAAGGCTCTGGCAGGGCAGCTGCCCGCCATCGGGAGATCTATGTGTGTGGAGATCTCACTCAAGACTTCTGAGGTAAGGCTGTGGCTAGGATGGGTCTTAACCTGACACTCAAATCTCTTCACATTCTGGTTCTAACTCAGCCGGATTCCTGCACCTTCCCTCTTTCAACTTCTCTCATCATTCTCTGAGGAGGTCATGTTTTTTTGTACTTTTTTCTTCCAACCACCTGGAATATAGGCTCATCACCCGAATCTTTGTATATATCACCCATATATGACGTTTCCACTTATCCTCAAGACTCACTTGCTCTAGAAAATCTTCCCCTACTAGAGGGAGAGGTAACAGTTTTAGACTTCCCATGTACTTTGTTTGTATTCATTTCTGGAGTAGAACTTGCTATATTGTGATTTGCTTGTTTTTTTGGTTTGTTTTGCTTACCTTATTCCACATTAGGATTGAGGCAGGTATTGTTACTTAGGTGTATATTAATCTATTTCCACTACAAGATTATGAGGCTTCATGGTATAATGAAAAAGAGATAAGAGGTTGGAGCTACACAGACCCAAATTCAGGTCTCAGCTGAGTGACTTTGGCCAAATAACTTAACCCTATCCCCACCACCACCACCTAACTAATACAACACTTCCCAGTGTTGCAGGGCTACAATATTTTCATTTAATCCTTATTTGTAAAGAGGCTAACATGACATAGTAGGCAATTATTACATCTTCCTATTCATATTTTACACTTTTATTCTGGAGTTCAGCAGCTATGCCACATCTTATTTATTTTTGTAGTTCTTCAAATTCTTTCTGAAATGAGGCAGCATATAAAGAAATAAATATTCATCTCTGTGCCTAATACAGTGCCTGGGACAGTATATTGAAAGCTATCAATGAACTTTGTTGAATGAATATTTACTTAAATTATGAAAACTTTAGAAACAAATAAAACAAAACTTCCTGTTCTCTATTGAATTGCCAGTTTAGTACACCATAATTTTTTTTTTTTAGTGATTCATTGGGAGTTCAAAAGAAATCCCTTGAATAATTATTTCCTCTCCGAGATATCGTGAAATCTGACTGTAAACTATTCTGAGAAACCACATCAACTTATTTTGGATACTTCTTATTATCCATCCCTTGTTGTACATGCCCTTAACTGGAATCGAACCCGGGACCCTTGAGTCCACAGGCCAATGCTCTATCCACTGAGCCAAACCGGTTAGGGCTATTGCATAATTTAGAAATGACAGTATAATGAAAAGGATGTATATCAAGGGCACATATTTAACTTTGATCTAGATCAAATACAGTTCTCTATTCCACAAAGTAACCCACACTTACTCTCAAACATAAAAGAATGCCCTCTTCTAACAGATTAGTAAAAAGGTTACTTATGTGACTATCCTTCTCACTAAGTGACTCATAGGAGTGTGTGTTACAGGGTTGAGGGATTCTGGCTTTAGTCTTTTCTTTTTCTTACCTACTCAGTAAGGCTAAATCTGTTCAGAGTAACACAAAGAGAGACTGAACAGTTTGGCTAAAGACATCAGATAGCTAAACAAGATTTAAGTAAGGAGCCTGTTAGATATCCTTAGTTGTAGGTGTCACCTGAAAATACCTCTGTAGAATTGGAGGGAAAGTCTCCATTCATGGGAAGTGTTGGCCTTATTGAAGAACAATTTGAATATACATAGCAAATGTCTTTAAAGCATGAATACTTTTTTTCTAGTATTCTACTTCTAGAAATTTGCCTTAAGAAATAAATTCAATGTATGTGCAAAGTTTTATTCTCAAAGCTATTTATCATAATGTTGTTTGTAGTAGTAAAAAATTAGAAACAACCTGTATGTCCAAATATGGGGGGACTGATTGGATAAAATGATGGTCATCTTTTAAAATACTATGCCACTATTTAAAATAATGCAAAATTTTAATAAGTATAATTCTGTTGTTTTTATTAATAAAATAGGTGATAAAAATAGTATATATGGTCTGATTTCACTCTAGTATGTTTTATAGTGACTATATAGTGCTTTGTAATAAGAAAAAGAAGATAGCTTTTAAAAATCAAATAAAATTGAAATATCTTTCATTTGTCCCAACTATAGGGTGATTCCATGGAACTAGAAATTTGGTGTCTTGAAATGAATGAAAAGTAAGTTCTCCATCTTAGGTTTCTTGGTGTGGTAGCTGAGGATAAAGCGGATGACATCATGTGAAAAACTGGGCTTAGTTATCAGTCATGGAGGGTGTTCTGTCACTTAACAAAACCAGTAGAGCTTTGCTATAATGCTCATGCTTGGCTTCCAGCCCTAGCACAGAGATGACCTTCAGCGGGAGCATTAGTCCAGAGAGACTCAGACATCACAGGGAAAGGAGCAGAAAGAAAGCTGAAAGGGTTGGTTGTTTTCCCAGAGTACAGATAGTTCTCTGATTAAATCCTGAGGGAGCTCTCGTAACATGACTACTCTATTTTGTCTGTTTTCTGTGTGGCAGACATCCAATAAGCTTTCCCCTCTCTACTCCTTCTTATACAGGGTTGGTCATAGATTGGGAATGCATGTTATTCCCCTTCTGTATTTTTTTCTTTCAAGGCAGATTAGCTTACCTCCTGCCTGAAGTTTCACTTTTCAAGAAGGTTATACATATAGAAAAATAGAGGAAATAGCAACATATCAAGAGAAAATTTCTTATAATAAAAATATGTAGTATGGGATTTTTTTAGTAAAAATAGAAAGCGAGTGCCTGGTTCTAGTCCAAAATTTTAGTACCAAACAGATGTGTAGAAGTAAGCAGCTCATCAGAGGGTACATTGAAATTGTGATTACATCTTCATTAATATACCGGTAATTGCAACATTGAATTACTGTCTTGATTTTATTTTTTAATATATTTTTATTGATTTTAGAGAGGGGGAGAGAGATAGAAACAACAGTGATGAGAGGAAATCATTGATCAGTTGTCTATTGCACACCACCTACTGGGGATTGAGCCCACAACCGGGGCATGTGCCCTGACCGGAAATCAAACTGTTACCTCCTGTTTCAGTGCTCAACCATTAAGCCACACTGGCTGGGGTACTATTTTTAATTGTATTGCTTTATTTTTTTAGAAAGATAACTGCTTCAAAGCTAGAAAAAAATATTGGGTGCCTATTGCTGCTCATCTGCCTGTGTCTAGTACATGAGAAAACGAAACTTTGGTTTATTGACTTATTTCAACAATCTGTTGGTAAACTGACAAATGACACCTTTACTTCAGAGCATCTGTTAATAATTAATTTTATACATTTCTAGTGATTAATTTGCAATCATCTCTGTTGGCTGTCATACTCTGAATGGTATATTTGGACTGCAAAGCAGTTTCTATTCTGTCAGAAGTTATGAATAATGCTAACAAGTTAAGCTTGGTCAATAGATGGATCATAAACTAATATCTCTACAGCCATTGCATTTCTTTTCTTTGTTTTATGTTAGTTGAAGAGAGAGTGCTGATAGTGTCTGTGTGCTCCACAGGTGTGATAAAGAAATAAAAATTTCCTACACTGTGTACAACAGACTGTCATTGCTGCTGAAGTCTCTCCTGGCTATAACGAGGGTGACACCGGCTTATAGACTCTCCAGGAAACAAGGACATGAATATGTCATATTATACAGGTAAACAGCTCACTCCTTAACTCACCGTCCGCCTCATCACTTTGCACATTGTCTGTCTGATGGGCATTCAGGGATTATTTATATTCTGTGACAAATTTTTTAAAATATATTTTATTGATTTTACACAGAGAGGAATTGAGAGAGATAGAGAGTTAGAAACATCGATAAGAGAGAAACATCGACCAGCTGCTTCTTGCACACCCCCCACTGGAGATGTGCCCGCAACCAAGTTAAATGCCCTTGACCGGAATCGAACCCGGGACCTTTCAGTCTGCAGACTGACGCTCTATCCACTGAGCCAAACCGGTTTCGGCCTGTGATAAATTTTGAGTATATGGTTGGTTAGATAGTTGATGCTATAGCTTTACTATGACTGTTTTCTTACGAACTCAGCTACCACATTCTTTGTCCTTTTGTTTGTGCACAGTCATGATTCCTATGTATTGGATTTTGAGATTCTACTTGCAGGACCTCAGAGCAGGGAAAGGAGTTTAAGACTTTAAAAAATAGACTATCCTGCCCTGGCTGGTGTGGTTCAGTTGGTTGAGCATTGCATTGAGGATGCCAATTTGATTCCAGGTCAGGTCACATGCCCAGAAGAGGGTGTGTGAAGGAGGCAGCTGATTGGTGTTTCTCTCTCATTGATGTTGCTCTCCTCCTCCTCCCTCTATCTAAAATCAATAACAGCCAAAACCTGTTTGGCTCAGTGGATGGAGCATTGGTCTGTGGACTGAAGGGTCCCAGGTTTGATTCCGGTCAAGAGCATGTACCTTAGTTGCGGGCACATCCCCGGTGGGGGGTGTGCAGGAGGCAGCTGGTCGATGTTTCTCTCTCATTGATGTTTCTAGCTTTCTATCCTTCTCCCTTACTCTCTGTAAAAAATCAATAAAATATATTTAAAAAAAAAAATAACATCAGTAACAACATTTTATAAAAACAACACACATAAAAACACAGTCTATCCTGAGCAAATTCTAGCCTTCTATATTCTAGAATTAAAATAAAACTTTTTTTCCTAATTCAATTTTTAAAATTTTAATTTTTGACAATATAATTTTATTGATTTCAGAGAGGAAGGGAGGAGAAAAAAGATATAAACATCAATGATGAGAGTGAATCATTGATTGGCTGCCTCCTACGGGGGATTGAGCCTGCAACCCACACATGTGCCCTTGACTGGAATCGAACCTGGGTTCTTTCCATTTCCAGGCCGACGCTTTATCCACTGAGCCAAACCTCCTAGGGCTGAGTGCTTTTTTAATGTAAGCATTGCCTGGGTCCAAGGAAGAACTATACAGAGGCCCTGCACTATGACTGTTTCTAATCTAATGGGGAAAACAGTTTAGTACATTATGAGTACATCGTGATTTAATAAAAAGCAGGACTTGAAAACTGCATAGCAGTCTCAGGAAAAAAGTACTGGCAGAACATAGAGAGGGAACATTTGTTCTGGCAGAGAGATATAAGACTGGCTTCATGGAGGAAATGGCCTTCAAGCTAGACCTTGAGGCAGAGAGAATTTCAGCAGATAGAAGTGAGGGAGGTAATTGTTCCAAGTGGGGACTACAACAGATGCAAGGCATAGAAATGGGGGCGAGATATGAACTATATCACATTGTCTGATGGACCACAGTGGTGGTGTAGAGGATATGTAGGAAAGTGAGAGCAGAGCATAGAAAGCCAGGAGTCCCAAATCATCCAAGACCTTTTTTCTTTTTCTTTTTAAAAAAAATATATTTTATTGATATTTTACAGAGAGGAAGGGAGAGAGATAGAGAGCTAGAAACATCGATGAGAGAGAAACATTGACCAGCTGCCTCTTGCACACCCCCCACAGGGGACGTGCCCGCAGCCAACGTACATGCCCTTGACCGGAATCGAACCTGGGACCCTTCAGTCCGCAGACCGATGCTCTTCCACTGAGCCAAACCAGTTTCGGCCCTTTTTTCTTTTTATTTATTTTTCTTTTTAAATATATTTCATTGATTTTTTACAGAGAGGAAGGGAGAGGGAGAGAGAGTTAGAAACATTGCTGAGAGAGAAACATCAATTAGCTGCCTCTTGCACACCCCCTACTGGAGATTTGCCTGCAACCAAGGTACATGTCCTTGACTGGAATCAAACCTGGAACTCTTGAGTTCGTAAGCCAATGCTCTATCCACTAAGCCAAATCGGTTAGGACAAGACTTTTTTTCATATTAATGACCAACCATTGGTTTTTAGCCTTTGGCTTACATGTATAGAACTGGTTTGAAAAGAATTAGGATAGCAGGATGGAAAGACTAATGATTAGAGACTTAACTAGTTCTGTTGCAACAATATAGTGCCTGAGAATAGTTATTAAGTCAATTATAACTTTTTAGCATTAATCTAGCACCCTCCCATGTTTACTTTTCCAGGTAGGAGAGAAAGGGAAGAAAAAACTTATATATATCAGCTGCCACTTAATTGTTCTTTTTCTCTCTCTTTTGTTAATCCTTACCTGAGGATATTTTTTCCATTGATTTTTTTTTTTTTAGAGAGAGTGGAGGGGGGGGGCAAAAAGAGAGGGGGGGACAGAGAGAGAGAGAGAGAGAGAGAGGGAGAGAGAGAGAATATGAATCATTGATATAAGAGACACACATTGATTGTTTCCCACATGCACTGTGACTGGGGTCAAACCTGCAACCCAGGTACGTGACCTTGACTAGGAATTGAACCCACAACCCTTTGGTGTGTGGGCCAATATGTGCCATGCCAGCCAAGGCTATTTTTCTAATTTTTTAACCAGTCCTCTCACCATATACACCCCCGTGGCCTGCAGATTAATTAAGTAGTAGCATTATTGCTCCATTAGGAAAGGTGTTCTTGTAGGTAAGAAACTAAAAGTTTGTTTTATTTTGTTTCTAGGTGCTTGCTTTAAAGGCTATTAGAATAAAGAATCTGGTAACATATTTTTCTTTCTTCCTTGCAGGATATACTTTGGTGAAGTTCAGCTGAATGGCTTAGGAGAAGGTATGTATTAAGGTTGAAAAATATTTGTAGTGTTAAGAGCTCTCCTGACTTAAGAGATAGGCTTTAGTGCTGCCTGTAATAATATGCAGCTTATGATTTTAATATGTATGATACAAGCAAGGAAAAGACAGGTATGTGGTTCCACGTGCCACTAGAGAATGAATAATTTTCCCAAAGTTCCAACAACTCAGTATTGTTTCTTATTCCTTATACAATTGTCTATTTCCTGATTTTCTACAATGAGCGTGTTAAATGTTTCTGATAAGCATCAATTTTAAGAAATTGGAAATGAAACAGAAAATCAGGAAACAGCAAGGCCCGGGCTTGTTTCCATACTCAGTTCTGGCGTGGCAGCTTAAGTGGGAGCGCAGTTACTTCATACATTTCAGGTGTTGGTGACAAACTCCTGATGCCCCTTTACTGTCTCGTTGGGCATGTGTCAGTCCAGGCAGGATTTGCTAGGACTTGCTAAACAAGGTTTTACCTCTTTAAAGGTAGTTTTTTTCTGAAAATAGGGTGCTGTTTCCCTTCCCAATATTAGATCAATATAGAATTAATTGAAAGAAAAAATTGAAATTGAGGCACTCAGGGTGCTACTTGGATAATGCCAGAGATAGTATAGGCTGAATGATTCAAGGAAAGAGACTAGGAGCAGTATCAGTATTCTCTGGGGAGGAAACTAATGATTTATCTCTTCTCCTAGGTTTCCAGACAGTTCGTGTTGGGACAGTGGGCACCCCTATGGGCACCATCACTCTTTCTTGTGCTTACAGAATTAACTTGGCATTCATGTCCACAAGGTGAGGAAAGAGCATTGGACTCCAAAAGAACTCTTTCAAAAATATTAATGTTTCTTTCGCCCGAACTCCATAGCTAAGCCTGCTGTTCAGCTTTGCCATTGCTGAAATCAGTTCCCTTCTGAAGAATGAAATCAAGAGAGAGCCCAGTTTCACTGGAAAATCTTATTGTGTGTCCCAGAATCAACAATGTGGAGATGGTGGTTTATATTTTGGGATGCTGTAATTAAGGGTCTGGTGGTTCCTGCTAATCGATATTAGGTGAGGGGCCCTCTGAGGACTTCAAGGAGCTGGCAAGGCATTCTAACAAGTACTGCAATCTGCATATTGCGTTACAGGCAATTTGAGAGGACCCCACCTATCATGGGGATTATCATTGATCACTTTGTGGACCGTCCCTATCCCAGCTCCTCGCCCATGCACCCCTGCAATTACAGGTGAGGAATGTGAAAGGCACTTTCCCATACTGCAGCTAGCAGAAGCATCCATCTGGCACAGGTACACAGGGCACCTTTGTTAGCACTCACTGATGGGCCTGGGGCACTGATGGAGACACTACATGGAGAGAAATGGAATGGCTAGCTTCCTTTTTTGCTGCTGCCTATAAGGTACACCCAAACTTGGGGTATACAGAATGTCTCACAAAATTCTTGGACATGTTGAATCTTGACAGTAGTGATTTGACTTAGAGACAAGAGTGGCAGTAATTTGTGGAATGTCTTTTGCAAATCAAATGATTTTCAGGTTATCGTTGGCACAATTCAGTTATTTATGAGAATCAAATATCTTCAGTTCCCAGAAAACAGTTCTAGAATTCTCTAGAGGTTGGGATAGATGAGTATCAGGAAAGGATACTGTCTTTATGTGAAGGATTTCTGAAATTGGGTAAGTTTGTCTTTGGAGTCTAGACTTTTGTTTTACTGAAGTCTGTTGCTGACAGTTCTTTGATCCCAATACTGGCCAGGTTTAAGCAGATATTCTCAAATGACATGTCAAGTAAGATGTTTGGGTTACAAAAAAAAATTCATTGTCAACCTCTAGATGCTGTTCTCTGGAAAGTAAGTTAGGTACAAAAACTAATTTAATGTGTGTGAAGGACATTACAGAATCCACGGATCACCATTATTTCTGTTTTCCCAATTTAGAGTTAAAGAGAGTCTTATTGTAAAGCTACCTATATGGGCCTGGCTGGCATGGCTCAGTGGTTGAGCATTGACCTATGAACCAAAAAGTCAAGGTTTGATTCCTGGTCAGGGCACATTCCTGGGTTGAAGGCTTAATCCCCAGTGTGGGGCGTGCAGGAAGCAGCTGATCAGGATTCTCTCTCATCATTGATGTTTCTATATTTCTCTCTTCTCTTCCTCTCTGATAGTAATAAAAATATATGTTAAAAAATAATAAAAATATAAAGTAACCTGGATGGTTTGGTTTGAAATTATGAAGGACTTAGCAGAGCTCTCTTGTTGAACTCTTATGAACTCTGCCAAAAACAAACTTGCATCTCTTTGTGTCCTTTCTAAAATCGACTGCCATCCCCATAACATGCATGATTTCCTTTCCCCTCACTATAGAACCACTGGTGAGGACACTGGAGTAACGTATCCTTCTGTGGAAGATTCTCAAGAAGTGTGTACCACCTCTTTCTCCACCTCACCTCCATCCCAGGTAGGGGGAACAGGTTCTGGGGTGGTGGTAGTTATTTGGCCCATATGGGCCTAAGGAAATGGTGTCAAAATTGAGAGATGTTTTGGTGGTGGTGGTGGTGATTGTTTCAAGGGGTTTTTTTAAACGGTGAAGAAGAGCCTTCTTATCCAGCAGGTAATATTGCAGTAACCATCCTTAACCCATAGTACATGTAACCTTCCCTTCCAGGGACATCTTAAAATCCCCTGGAGAAATCGGTCACAGAATTCCCTATGCATCCTCATGCCAGAGAGATGCTCTAACCTCCCCTTGTTCATTTGGAGCTACTTCTCACTTGGTAAATACGGTTCCCAGTAACGGACGAAGCACAGAGGGAGCCAGTAATTATTTAGCATATTTTAGCATTTTGCCAGTTAGAAATGAGCAGTATACTTTTTCTTTTAATTTTTTAAATTTATAAAATGTTTTATTGAGTTCAGAGAGAGGGAGGGCGAGGGAAAGAAACACCAATATAAGAGAGCATCATTGATCAGCTGCCTCTCCTGCACGCCCCATATTGGGTACCAGCCGGCAACCCAAGCATGCACCCTGACTGGGAATTGAACTGTAACATCCTGGTTCATGGGTCAGTGCTCAACCACTGAGTCACACCAGCCTGGCAGTGCAGTTTTTCTTAATAGTTGACACAGATTTTTGCCTATCTGCATTTTCTATCTGAACATTTTTAACCATTTACTTTTCCACTTGAGTCCATCTTCAGTGACAAACTGAATTTCAATAAAACAAAAGCTCGAAACAGTGTTCTCAGATTCCCAAGAGGAAGCACCTGTGTGGACTCCTCTGTTTCCGCTAAGGAATCCTTTTTGCCAGCTGGCTGAATTTCAGGGCACATTTCTTTCCTTCCATCCCAAGTCTTTCATTTTCTGCTTCATGCATTGCCTGCAGATCCCTGCTTTGTCTGCCCAGCATCTCTATTCCGTATCATTTGACTTTCACATTAGACAGTTTCCTCTAGACTAGGGGTGTCGAACTCAATCAGAGAAGGGGCCAAAATCTAAAATCCAGCCTAAATCGCGGGCCGAATGGTTTACTGAACAGTCATAAACTGTCATTGTGATGGAAACGCAGCGGAGTGCAGTGATGACAGCGCGGTGCGGGCCACATTGCAAGGCCTGGCGGGACGGATTTGGCCCGCGGGCCTTGTGTTTGACACATGTGCTTTAGATAATGAAGTGTGAATATGTCAAGTTTAATGTTCTTTGAAGTTTTGTTTTATAAGTGATACATTCATAAACAATCAAGTTGTGACTTGGGAGATATGAGGGATGGTGAAGCTGGGCCTGAACAAATCAGTTTGTCTGTGTGATAAAGAGGGAATTTCACCCAGCTCCGAAAATAAAGGGAAGTTAAATCTTTTCTGCACGGGATGTTTGTATAAAAGTTTGTTGACCTGAGTAGGGAGAACCTATCTTTTTCCGTAGTATCAGTTGCCTGTTGTGTCTTGTCACAGTTTAAAAGTAGATCACATCAAGATCTTATCCATACTGCGCACTCCATGCTTGAGTCCTATTCCTATCCCTGAATACCTCTAATCAAGGTTGGTACAATTTGGTGTAGAAATATTCATTTTGAACAGAGAGAGAGAGAGAGAGAGAAATCATTTGCCATCAGGTTTCCTCATTCCTGTAAATACTGTCTTCCTTGGTTTAACTTAGGGAATTGCATAGTTGTTCAACAACTTCTATTTGAGCTTTTGCTAGAGTCCAATAAATGCATGTTAATGTATGTTTGTTTCACCAACATAATAAGGATCATGTTGTCATTTTAGTCAAGAAATAGTTAACTGTTGTGATCCTGAACCTGCTATTGTGACTTAAGGTCCTACTTTCAATTCTAAGCATTAATTAGGTAGTTGGTGAGACTTATTAAAGATGGAAAAGCAAAACACAAAAATAAGAATAAGAATACATACACACACACACACACACACACACACACACTCAGCTCTATGCCTACATCTGCACTCTAACTCATCTTCCCTGGAATGATTGATATTGGAAAGTGCTGCTGGGTACCTGGGTATTTTAAAGTTCCAGTCAACAAAGGTCAACTTTTTATTTTCTCCCAAAGGTCAACTTTTTAAACCTGTCTCTGAAGATTCTGAGTCCCCAGAAAAAGTCATTCTACCATTTTTAACCTGTTTCCTCATTCACCCTGAGAACACCTTTTGGCTGCTCTTGGGCCCTTCCTATTGGCGGCCGTTCTCTAACATCCTCCCATCCTCTTGACTAAAGACAGACTAACACTTGGTTCAGGGATCTCTGTTTTGCCAAGTCATTCCAGCTCGACTCAGCTGTGTTTTCTTTCTTTCTTTTTTTTTTTTTTTATTAACATATTTTATTGATTTTGTGCAGAGAGAAAGGGAGAGAGATAGAGAGTTAGAGACATCGATGAGAGAGAGTCCTCGATCAGCTGCCTCTTGCACACCCCCTACTGGGGATGTGCCCGCAACCAAGGTACATGCCCTTGACCGGAATCAAACTCAGGACCCTTCAGTCCCCAAGCCGACGCTCTATCCATTGAGCCAAACCGGTTTCGGCGACTCAGCTGTGTTTTCCACCTGCTCAGCAGGGAGACACGCATGCAGTGGAGCGCCCTGGGATACACATCTCAGACGCTTCCTTTGGGAAGACAGTCATGCAGCGCTCGCCCCGCTACACGCCTGACCTCCATTGTGCATTTTAGCCTCTGTTGCTACTGCCCCTTTCAAGTTTTTTCACTTCTTTTCTCAAGTCCCTTTTCTTTTTTCTTCTCTTGTTTCTCCTGTCTCTGTTTGTATCTGTGCACAGTGTGTGTTTACTGTTACAAAGGCACATTTTCAGACCCCTACTCCTGTGGTGACGGATACCCTGAGGGTCCCCATGGCAGGACTGGCCTTTTCCCATCAAGTGAGTCCACTGGGAAGAAGGGGATAAATTAGATGGCATCTTTTTATTTAAAAACTGTAAATAAAGTACAGGATATCGCTACTTAAATGTCCCCAAGTGTTCTATGGGTTATTTTGAGGCTTGGTAATTGATTTTTAACAGGACATAACCATAGCAAGAGCAGCCCAAAATAGAGTTTTTTCAGTTGCCCCTCCCAATGATGTGAAAACTACATGGAGTTATTTATATCTTCTTTCCAAATAAACAATCCAAGAGCGGTATTCTTTCTTTTTCAACAAAAATAGGAACCCTCCCATGCCCAGAGGTGAGGGAGGGTGTGATTAGAGAGACGCCTTCTGTTCCGAAGGGACCCCAAGGACGAAGGAGAAAATAGAATGACCTGAGAAAAACTGATGACTTTGGCTCCAAGTTCTGCCCCAGCTTGTGCTCCACAGACCTGCTGGGCTGGACACAGAAACCGGGAGCTGAGAAAAGGGTGTGGCAGGAGTCATGGAGGCCTTTGTAAGGACACAGAGCTTGGAACCTCAGTTCACTGCAAACAAGTCTGGTTGTTTTTTTTCATCTAAAAAGAAATGTCCTGGTCTGTCCTTAACCATTACATCAGGCCGCTCGTATCCCGAGGATGTAGGCTGGGATCCATTCCTTCCCTTTCTTCTGATCTTGATCATTAGTCATACTCCAGGATTGCCTGTTTTTTCCTCCTCTTTTCCTCTGCCCTTCTTTGTTTTTCTCTTGCTTAGCTCTCAAGCTCTCGCCTTTCCTATCAGCCTGCTGCCCTGGGCGTTGGATCAGCTGACCTGGCTTATCCAGTAGTGTTCGCAGCTGGCTTAAACACCACACATCCTCATCAGGTATCTTTAAAGATGGGGCAGACCCGGGAGTTCCCCTGCTGCCTCCCTGCCCGGGGCAGTTGAGGGGCCTCTTGAGATACCAGTTTCATTCTTTTAAGTGTTTGGAGGCAAAGCTCTCCTGTGACTTTGGAGAACTAATGTGACTCTGAGAGGAAGGGGCCTCTTAAACTTCAGAACAAAAAGAAGAGCTTTCCCCTCTTTCCTTTTCCTTCTGTAGTCAATGCCGTGCATGTGTCCCTTTAACTGAGTCCCAGGGAGGGTAGAGAGGCAAGGTTTCCTGCTCAGTAGATGGCAGCATTGGTGATGGAGAAACTCAGACACAGATACTATCCTGGTAGGCCATGGGGTCGTGGCCGCCACAATTCACTATTTTATTTTTATTTTTTTTCATTTTCCCCTAAAGCTCATGGTTCCAGGGAAGGAAGGTGGGGTACCTCTTGCTCCCAACCAGCCTGCCCATGGTGCCCAGGCTGATCAGGAGAGATTGGCAACCTACACCCCCTCTGATGGGGCCCACTGTGCTGCCACACCTAGCAGGTGAGTTCCTGTCTAGGCTCTGCTGATGCTCAGGCCAGGGAGGGGCGGGTCTTCTCTGAAACGCGCTTATTTGTTATTGGTAGAAAGTGGCTTTCAGCATTGGCTCAGGCTTGGTTCCTGGGCCCCAAGTATGCATTTCTTTAAGTTCCCGATTAGAATCTTATATTGCTGCTGGTATGGAAGGAAGCTGGCCAGGCTTCACCACTAACAGTAAACAGCAGGGGCTTGGCTCTTACCACCTTCATCCAGTGAGGGGGGTTTCCAGATGTTTTTCTTTTACCCAAGATTTATTTTCCTGGATTCGGTCTTCATTGTTTCCTGAGGACCAGACAGGGTGTTTACTGTGAATCTGAGCCATGGTGGCATCTGTGATGGTGGTCTTTTTCTGCTGTGTGAGTGCTTCATGGAGAAAACTATTTTATATTAGAAAACTATTTTTTCTCACTATTTTTAAAAAATATTTTGTCTTTTTTTCAGTTGCAGCAGTTGATACATTCTATGAAATTTAAATGATACATTGGTTAGGTAGGAAATGGAAGTTTTCATAATCCCACCACTGTTACCTTTTCTGACAAGAGGAGAGGATTTCAGAAGAATTAAGTAATTTGCCTCAGAGCAGTTAGCTTGCAGGGTGGCTGGCATGAGTCCCGCTGGGCTCCTCGGACTTCAGTCCTGCTCACTCTTTCCATGACACGCGGGGCTCTCCCGAGGGAAGATGGGGCTGTCTAGATGTGACCTGCCCTCCCTTGACTGGAAGTCCCCAGAGGTAATGACGTTGATTGCCCTGCCACATCCTAAATGAACTTCTGGATAATAGAAATTCCTGGGTTTTGTTTTGTTTTTCTCATTCCATTGGTGGAATGGTGGGAAGGGAATTGTTTGGGAAGGTCAAATTTTTGCACTATCCATCAGGAAAAAAATGATTACTTTCATTCCTGACTTCCCAAATTTCCATTTTCTATCCCTCCGCCTGATAGATAACCAAAGGACGATCCTATTAGTCCTTTTACACTCTAGTTTTTGAGCCTCGACTCCTGGGATTACAGACAGGATCCTGTACAGGAGGTTCTTAAATGCAGAGCACAGGCCTTTCCCAAGACCTCCTGTTGGCTAGAGCCGAGGCCACTTGGAGTTTACAGCCCTCGCCCCACCTTGAGCCCCTGCTTTTGGCCAAAGAGCTTTCCGAGCCTCTGCTGCTCGCAGGGCTGCGGCTGCCGGTCTGGCAGCCACAACATGGGCCCTTGTTTCTCAGCTTGGAGCGCCCTCTCCTCCAGGACCGAGCGTTGGACTGGAGGGCCGCAGAGGGGTCAGTGGGAACAGCGATACTGAATGTGTCCTTGACCAGAGGGATGTTTAGGGATGTGAGGAAAGGGCGGGATAAAGAGCACAGAGGATCCCAGCCCCAGCCATTGGTCATGGGTTAAAAAGCTCTGGCTCTATAGACAGTTAAATTTGGGACTCTTGACTTGGAATAACGTTCCTTGTGTGTTAAGGTTTAAATTTCAACGTTGTACTATACCATCTTATTGCATTTTTAGATAACTAAGCAAAACAAAAATGAGATGAAAAGCAGCTAAAATCTTGAGTCTGTCTCTGTAATTAATATTTAAATTACAATTTGGGGGAGCTGCTTGCCTATATGTGTGATTGCTGCATGCATGGTGACTGAAGCTTACTGGTATTTCATAGGAGCTTTACTTGATTGTAACACTGAATTTTGTTCACATATGCATAGTTTTAGTTGTGTGCCTCTGCTCTCATTAGAGGACAGGGTGACAGCGGCAGCGGCCAGACCACACAGTGCTGTGTCCGTGTGTGTGTGTGTGTGTGTGTGTGTGTGTGTGTGTGTCTCCCTCCCCCGAGGCTGCAGCCCACAGAGGGCGAACATGGGGAACTAAGAATGAGTACCAACATTACATTTCTTTTCCAGCGAGGACACTGAAACCGTGTCGAACAGTAGTGAGGGACGGGCCTCTCCCCATGATGTCTTGGAGACCATCTTTGCTCGAAAAGTGGGGGCTTTTGTCAACAAACCCATCAATCAGGTGATTTTTCTTCCATTGGCACCTGTGAGCCATGTCTGAGTGAGGGTCTCAAGCGGGTCTCTTAACTTGGGATTTGTGCAGCCACTGACATTGTGTTTGGAATGTGTGTGTGTGTGCGTGAGTTTTTGTGAAGGGTGTAAGTAACCTGTGAGACCCCCCAGAAGTGAAGGACTGTTTGTTGGAGGTGGTAGGAACGGCTCCAGTTGTCTTGACTGATGATGTCAGACCAAACCTGGGTTCAGTAACCTTGGTACTTGGATTCTGGCTAGGAGAGACTTAAGAGCCAAGACCCCAAACTATAGGAGAACATTTATTGGGTAAATTGCAGAGGTAGAAAATAGTTCTTAGTAGAAATGGGCTTAGGAAACAAATTATGGAGATAAAGGAAGGGCCCTTGGAGCTTGGGAGTGAGGAAGCTAACGGTAAGGTGCGTGGGGGGCTGAGGAGAAAGGGAAAGGCCCTAGTGGCTGTGCACCAAGTTCCTTCAGTCCTAGGAGTTGTAAGGGTGGAGATTTTAGGGGAGGTCCCAGGGGAAGATCTCAGTGGAATATTCAGTAACTTTCCAGGTGTGTCCATTAAGGGTTGTGGTCCTGACCAAGGTAAGGGGGCTTTTTATTTTTATTTATTTATTTTTTTTTAATATATTTTATTGACTTTAGAGAGGAAGGGAGAGGGAGAGAAATATCAAATGATGAGAGAGAATCATTGATTGGCTGCCTCTTGCATGCTTCCTGCTGGGGATCAAGCCCACTACCCAGGCATGTGCCCTGACCAGGAATCTTTAACGGTGACCTCCTGGTTCATAGGTTGGTGCTCTACCATTGAGCCACACTGGGCAGGGGCGGGTGTCATTATTCAGTGATGCTGATCCCCCTTCCTCTGTGGCTGGTTTTGTTGCTTATCTGAACCCTGAGCTGATAAACAGCTGAGGCCTAGATATTATCTCTAGGGAGGAAAGGTCAGGGGGTCCAAACCTCCAGACTAGACCAGACCAGAACAGCGATGTGCTAGGGGAGGAAAAGTCACCTTGGGGGTAAGGGTCCTCCCCTACATTTGATTGTCCTTTGCTAGGTACCTGGGGTTTTCCACTCTTATGACCTTCTGAACTTGGCTTATCATCCCTCCTCTGCTCACTGTCCATCTAAAACTTCCTACAACATATTGTTCTGTGAACTTTTAAGCCTCCCATAGAGAGGGAGGCTGGACACCATTTAGTACAAACACTGCACTGAAGTATCTGTCTCTGAAACTGGACAACCATTGTTCCTAGATGCCTGTCACTACTTGCATCAGTTAAGTGGAGACAGGGTTGAATTATACATGAGCATTTATTCCAGTAATGCTAACGGTATTGGGGAGCAGCAGGTGATTGATGAAAATCTGCTCTGCCTCCCCTCACCCCCCCTTAAGTCAGTTGGGTTATATTGGGTGGGACAAAGATTATTATGGGCAAAAGGAAAAAGAGTGAGTGTGCAAGGGTATGACCAGTGTGGGGAAATAGGCAAAACTAGCTGGGGCGGGACTAGTTGTTTGGGCAACAAGGTTGTTAATCTTTTCATGATAATAGGCAGTTCTTGAATGAGAATGGACTGCATTCCAGAGTTGACTCCCTGGGACAAGGTCAACTCCCAGTCCCTGGGCATACAACTCCAACCAGATTAAAATGTGCTTTCTTTAATCAGAACAAAACAATCACAGTTAACAGAGCTTGCTTAATATTTCTTATTTTATTTCTTACTAGAGGTCTGGTTCTCGAAATACATGAACTCACGGGGGAGAGGGACGGGCGCTAGGGGGAGGGGAAAGCGCGGGTCCCTCAGCCCTGCCTGCGCCCTCTCACAGTCTGGGAGCCCTTGGGGAGCAGGCCTAAGCTATTAGTCAGATATCCTTAGTGCTGCTGTGGAGGCGAGAGAGGCTTCCACCACCACTGCTGGCCGCTGCATTTGCCTGCAGTGAGCCTGGCTTCTGGCTGAGTGGCTCTCCTCCTGTGGGAGCGCACAGACTACCAGGGGACAGCTGCATTGAGCGTTTGCCCCCTGGTGGTCAGTGCACATCACAGCTACCAGTAATCCGTGGCTCTGTCAATTTGCATATTAGCCTTTTATTATATAGGATAACTAAAACTAGTCCCCGATATTCTATCTCTGTCTTTAACATCTCAGCCAACTCAGTAGGAGGTTCCTTTTTGGCTCTGTTATTGAACAGTTATCACTGAGTTACTGTGGGTCAAACTTCCAAAGCTGACGTCCTGAGGTTTTGGGAAGCCCTAACCCCTGCTTATGCTGTGGGCCTGTGATGGGAGGTGGTGGAAATTGGAGGATTTCCAACACGAGCCTGAGGGGTAGTGCCGTCAACCTGGTGCCAACCTGCAGGCCTCCAGGCTTCTGGCAGCTTGTAGGGAAACATGGAAGCTGGGTGAGGGGCGGCACTAATACTTTCTCCGGTGTCTTTTCAGGTGACATTGACGAGTTTGGACATACCCTTTGCCATGTTTGCTCCCAAGAATTTAGAACTGGAGGATGCTGATCCCATGGTGAGTCTAAAGTTTCCAGTGAGATGGTATGGGAATCCTTGTCCTTCCTGGGCACACCACCGTTCCCAGACCGTCAGCCCTGCCTGAGCCAGCATTGCTCTTACACAACCCTCCATTGTTCAGAGTTACTTTCCCCCAGTGCACAGAACCAGCCCCTTCCTCTGCTTTATCCTGAACCAGGTGAATCCTCCAGATTCCCCAGACACTGAGTCTCCTCTCCAGGGCAGCCTGCACTCTGATGGCTCCAGCGGTGGCAGCAGTGGCAACACCCATGATGACTTCGTCATGATTGACTTCGTAAGTTGCCTTCACCTTCCTTGACCTTTGCTGCCAAAGGGGAAACGAACCCAGAGGCATCCTTTGCACTCTAAGGGGACCTCCTTCACAGGGAGCAGATGGGACCCCACCGGGCAGTGTATGTGGGAATACACATAGCCTGCTTGAGGACGTTAGGAGGCCAAAGAACAAGAAGGCATTTTGTGCCATGTCTTTGTTTGACATCATGCAATTCAGCTCTCCATGGAGATTTCCCAGTAGGTTCTACTCATGCCTGAATGGATAGCCCTGTGCTGAGGAAAGGAATTGAATGGAAGGTGACATAGCCCTAACCGGGGAAGGGGAAAGGTAGCAGGATTGGAAGTTAGCTGTCCAGAAGAGATAAGTTGTGGGACTTCTCCCTCTAAGATAAACCTGGATCAGGCTTCTCTTTGATAATTTACTGGGAGGAAAGAGGGTTGTTCATCTCTGATTTTCCTCTATGGCCCATGGTAAGCTAAATTGAGTCTGGTTTTATTTTTTTTAAGAAACCGGCATTTTCTAAAGATGACATTCTTCCGATGGACTTGGGGACCTTCTATCGTGAATTTCAGAACCCCCCTCAGCTGAGCAGCCTCTCCATCGATATTGGGGCACAGTCCATGGCTGAGGACTTGGTATGGAAACCCCTTCCCTGTCCCCATTTCATCCTCTGACCTTCCTTCCCCCTTGACATCATTTCTGCTCCACAGACCTGAACGTTTCTTCCTGTTATTACCCCCTCTCCCACACCTCCCATCTTCCCTGCGATAGGAAAGAGACTGTTAGACATTATCTTCTTTTTTTTTCTTCATTATCTTCTTTTGATTGCACTTGAGATTTGCATTATGCCCGGCAGTCATTATCTTGAATTTGCTTGCACGCACTTCCTCGCTTTGCAGGGGCTCAGCATTTCTTACTCACTCCTGTTCGCGCTTGGTGTTTTCTTGCTGATGCCACTGAGCCAAGCTGCTCCAACAGCTCTCACCTTCAGCTGTTCAGCTTGCCAGGCAGATGCCAGGTGAACAGGGCAGAAGAATCCTAAGGTCCTGAGCATTGGTGCTCTTGCTCTCTCCTTAGCCATTCCTCAGTTAACAGTGCTTCTGTTTAGCCAGATGTCCTGATAATGTCATTACCACATCTGACTTAGGGATTCTGTATCCTGCCTTGCCGGGGGGTGCCCTGGACAGCCACAAGCTTTGGGTGTCCAGTGCCACGAGCTGTCAGGGTCCCTCTGCCTGAAGTGGGATATCTTCTCCAACATTGAAATTACAGGGGTGACTCTAGAATAGGAATCTAGGAATTGCTGCCCTTGTTTTGCGGTAAAGAAAAACATAGTAATAACAATGCAGTTATAATGTAATTATTATTAACATTTATCAAGGCTTTCTAGGTGCCAAGCATTTCTGTAAGTGCCTTATACCATTCTTCAGCAACCTGAGAGGTAGGTTGTCTTATCTCATTTTACAGATGAGAAAACTGACACTGTGACCAAATGACTTGCTCACAGCCAGATTGAGCTTGCAAAACAAAGCCTTGATCCTAGAGAGTCTGGCTTCTGATTTTAGCCAGTGGAACCCGTGCCCACACTTGAAATGTGGTGGGAGGATAGGACCTGTCCGGGAAGACTCTCAAAGTGGTGTTGCAGCCAGTCCTTCCAAAGCTCTCGGGCTGTCCGTGTGTCTGGGCCACTTTATAAATTCTGAGGTAGGAGATTGTCCCACCTCTTCCAGGTACCTGGTACTGGTCCGGAAATCTGTAATCATTTAAACTCTTCGCATGCAAATTCTTCAATGGAGATAGACCACGGGATTAGGGTCAGTTTTTTTGTTTTGTTTTTAAATAGTTGATACCTTCAGACAGTTAAATTTAACTCCTCTTGGCTCTATTTTCATTTTATTCTCTTTCAACCCTCTCTAACCCACCCCTCCTCTGCTGGTGTCAAGATGCAGGTGCCTAGGTCTCACCGCAGCCTGCTGAGTCCGAGTCTGTTGGGAGTGTGGTGGGACTGTCTTGTTCATGTGTCCCAGGGTATTTTGATGTCCTGCACAGCGTGTGAAAAACCTTTAGTAAATCTTTCTTAATTTTGAGCACTGTAAACCTACTGTCCAATTCTAGTATCAGTCTAATCTGTGCCAAAGATATTTCATGTTTAATTTCTGTCATCCTAGGGGTGGTGTGGTCCTTTTCTATACTAAGTGTGGGGTCACCTTGATTCCCTAGGCTGTTGTGACAACCCCCCTCCCAAGGCCCACAGAACCCTGAAGCCCTTTGTTCGCTGCCTGCTCTGTTGCCCCGAATCCTGCTCGCCTGGCCCAGCACTGCTGCACTATGCCCCCTTCCTCAGCCCAGGGTGACTGGCTCTCTCTTCAAGGCCCCCCTGAATGAGCAGCTCTTCTCTCCCCTTCTGGCGCAGGACTCGCTACCAGAGAAGCTGGCTGTGCACGAGAAGAATGTCCGAGAGTTTGATGCCTTTGTGGAAACTCTGCAGTAAAAGCTGGTGTCCTCGAGTTCCAGCAGCCTCCCCTTTTTGTGGTCCCAGGAGACAGAGAGCCTCCCGTTCATCAGCTGTTCCCATTCCTCGTCCTGCTTCGAGCCAGGTGGAGGGGAGGCTGGTTTCCCCCATGGGGACCCCGAAGTCCCTGCTCTTGCCCCTCCTGGAGATTTCATGGCAGTGGTCAGGCCCTGTTAGAGCATGTACGAAGACTCAGCCTCTGGCCTTGGAGATGGGGAGACTCTCTGTGACAAAAGGGCCCTTGCAGGGCCTGCTGCTTCTGTTCACAAAGGCGGCCCCTCGTTCTCCTGTAACTGGCCCTAGCCTGTCGCCGTTACCACCAACCATTTGACATTCCAGCTGGTGGCCCAGAGATTGGCGTGGAGGCAGAGAGGGGAAGGAGGCAGTGCTGGAAGAAGGAAGGGCTCCTCAGGCTCTGTGTCTCCTTTGGTTCTGGTATCTCCCTCTCTCCCTCCCTCTGCCCCTGCACTTTTGGCAATATGACAGGCCTGCCCAAGATGAGAACTCGCAAGTCAGCCATTCCCACCCTGGAAGGTTGTGCCACCCCGAGCAGAGGGTCTGAGCAGCCCTGGCGGCTGCCTGTGCTCAGCTCCTCAGCTCCATGGAAACCAAATCCTGTGTCTCTAGGGTTGGAGTCACAGCAGTTCTCTTCCCTTCCCTCCCCTGTTGCTGCTCCTTGGTTATAGAATATGGTATATGGTAAATATTTATTACTTTCAGAGAAGTCAGATATTTTATAGAGAATTATGTTTGAGGTTAGACGTTTTCTCTTGGGGAAGGCGAAAGGCCTCTTCCTGGGGCGGGGCCTGTTCCTGTGGAGGTTCCCCAGATTCCAGGGTGCTGCCCTGGGGGTCTTCCTTCCCACATACAGAAGGGGGGAGCCAAGAACAGGGCTGGTGAGGGCAGCACACTTCCCAGACTTGCTGCATTTGCACTGACAACAGGCTTTGCCTTGGACGCCTACATGTTCCCGGTGAGAGCCTGGGATCCCTCACGGCGCCTTCAGAGACTGGCCTGTTCTGGCAGCCGAGGAAGCCGTGTGCGCTGTATGTGGTGACCCCAGGAGCTGTGCCCGAGGGCATCACGTGGTGGGCTGGGGAAGTCCAGACAGCCCCTCCTGGGCACTTGCTTCTGTTTCTCAGGGCTGCGTTAGGGGCCCTTTTCCTCCTTTCACCTGGGCCTGGCCACCCCCCTCCTTTAATCCCATGGTCTGTTCCCCGCCCTGAGGTTTCCTGGTTCCTGGCTGAGTTACTAAAGCTGGCACATGGTTGACTTACCCCTTCAGGTATTATTACTTGGGCAGGTCAAGTGCCTGGCCTCACCCTAGGCTGTCCCTCTCCCAGCCTAACTGGTAGTCTTGGCCGTGGAAACCTAGGCTGCCCCTTTCCTCCTGACCCACCAGGGGTGTTCATGGGCAGCAGCTGGAGCACATGGCCCTCAGGTGCTTGTAGTAAATGCATGTGATACTGTTCTCACCGACAAAGCTGATCTGAGGGCTCGAGTGGGCTCTGACGCTGTCTCTGTGAGGCTGAGCCCTGCCCCTGCGCCTGTGTTCTCTGCCACAAAGAAATGCTCCCAGCAGTGGTGTCCGACTTGGGCCAGAGCACACCCAGGGCCTGCTAAACCAATCCACAGCCCAGTGGATTGTCCTCACGGCCCAGTGCTGAGAAGGGTGGAGGCCCATTGCAAGCTATCTCTTGCCTTCCTCCCCAACCCGCCCCAGTGTCTCAGCCACTGCCCTTTTGAGGCCAAGTGTGGAAGGTCCTGAGTGCACAGACTGAGTCAAAGCCTTTGGCCTTGATGTGCTAATTGTTGGCCTGTGCAGGCAGCAACCTTTCTTCAGGTCCCCATCAGTGAGAGGCCATGGAGGCTGAGCCAGGGAGGAGCAAAGCAATGGTCAAGGCTGGCCCTTGCCCCTCCGCCCTGTACAATGAAAGTATGAGCCTAGACTGACTTCTGCAGCACAGGGGTTGGGGCTGGGACCAGTCATGTGTCTCCAGGGGGCAGAGTCCCTCCCCTCCTCCAGCTACCTTATTTGGAAATACTGAGTTATACTTTAAAATGTATTCAAGAGATTTCCAATAAAATTTTTTCTGTACTTTACAGCTTCTTATACTGCAAGTTGTTTAAAATCCTAGCCCCACTGCCTCCCACTTCTGTGCAGGCCACGGTCAACCACAGGCTCCACAGGAGGGGAAGAATGGTGCCATGTAACGCTCAGAGAGGCTTCTCGGTCACAGCTGTTTTGACTCTGGGCATGTGGCCACCAATCAGCTAGCTGTACAAGCTTGGGCTGGTCAGGAAAGTCTTAGAGTCTCCTTTTCCTGAGTTGTAATGTTCCCATTTCAGGGCTTTTATGTGAGTATTGAGTGAGATGTGCATATTAATTAAGCACATCCACAGTAGAATCTCCATAAAATGTAGGCCAGTCTCATCAGCTCTATTCCCCCTGCATACATCGTTCACCATGCAGCCTGGCCTGGAGGCAATGGCTGGCTTCTGGCTAGAAGGGAAAGACAACAGTCAGTCTCTCATGTTTCTAGTAGAAGCCAGCAGGGGGTGTGGGGCTCCCCAAGCTGCCTGGGGTCTGTTTGCTGATCAGTGTGCGGGGGTTGGTGCGGGGATGTGGGTGAGTGAACCAGACTGAAGGGGTTGGATGAGGAGCAGGGAGTCGAGGTCCCATGCCAGTTTGTGGAGCTGCCCAGGGCACTGGGAGGAACTCTTTGGGGATTATTCCTGTCTGGCCCCCTGGAGACTAATGCAGCAGGCATCTAAGCCCTGGCCAGGCGGCCCTCCTGCCTCCCAGAAGGGAGCTGGAGTGGAGCCAGTGTCCCAGAGGCAGACGTAGTTCTAGTGGCAAGACACCAACTGCCTGACAGACCTTGGCAACTGCTGCCTGGGTTGCCTCCAAAGCCTTTCAGACTGAAGGCAGGCCCCAGGACAGAAAAGGGCTAGTTAGAAAATCCTAATTGCAGCCCAAACCAGGGGCTGAAAAGAATGGGGCCTTCCCACTGTAATAGGCTGGGGGAGCCCTTGCTTGTTTGTAAACTGCACACAACACGAACCATGGTGCCTGACCATGCAGCCAATCAGGATAGAGATGGCAAAACCCTGGGTTAGACATGGCGGACTTTCCCTGGTGACCTGACCTTCCATTGGGAGCCCCCAAAAGCAAAGTGTTCGGTGTCCCTAGGTCTGAAAATCTTGTCCTACCCCTTTAAAGCATATCCCTACAATCCATCCCGAGACCTGTTGTTGCTAAGGCAGAGGTAAACCGGCTTTTGAGTCATTCAGCAGAGACCTTGCCAGGAGCCCAACCCAAGTAAACAGCTCTCTCCGTCTCCTGCTCCCCTCCTCATTGCCCTGGGTCACATCCCCTGTGTTGTAAACAGTCACCCAGCTCAGAGCGGAGGAGAGCCATTGAGAAAGGCTACCTGTGCCTTCTTTTTTTTTTTTTAATATATTTTATTGATTTTTCTACAGAGAGGAAGGGAGAGAGATAAAGAGCTAGAAACGTCGATGAGAGAGAAACATCGACCAGCTGCCTCTTGCACACCCCCTACCGGGGATGTGCCCGCAACCAAGGTACATGCCCTTGACCGGAATCGAACCCGGGACCTTGCAGTCCGCAGACCGACGCTCTACCACTGAGCCAAACCGGTTTCGGCTGCCTGTGCCTTCTGTTCAGTTACCTGGACAAGGGCCACGGTGTGCAATAGGACTAGCTTCCTGGAGCTCAGTGCCAGTGTTTATAACCACCAATCCTGACAATGTGGCTTGATCTTGCAGCTCTGGCCCAGCTCCCCCAGCCCAAGCCAGCAATGACGAGTAAACAGAACAGGCCCAGCTGAGGCTGCACCGCCTCCTGATTGCTACTGGCAGGCAAACAGCTAACTGTTGGAACATGACCTTGACCACTGTGCCAAGGGAAATTCTGGCCTGCCCTCGTAGTAACAAACCACTTTTTAGAAAATTGCAGTAAAATACGCATAAATGTTACCATCTTAACCTCTAAAGCAAAGCAAAACCTCAAGAGGAAAGGAAAACAGGGCCCTCCCATGACTCCATGTAAGTACATGGCAGGTGGAAGCGAGGCTCTGAGGGGAGAGGGGGGTGGTCCGGTGAGGGCTACAGTCCCAGCTGCTGCACAGGTTGGGAGTGGCGCCTTGTTCACTGGGAAATGATGGTCATTTAGTTACTACGGGGCACTGTACTGCACACATTATTTCTGGTCCTCAGATGAAGGAATGGTCTCAGTTGTGGGGCCAATTTTACAACTATCACCAGTGAGAGCTGTGGCAAGTGATAGAATGAAGATTCAAACCCTAAGTCTAAAACCCAGGCTGTTGTCCACCAAAGCCCACACCATATAGGGGACAGAAGAGTCCTCAGTCAGAGGTTACTCACATGGTGGCTAGTTGGAATGCTGCAGGTGCTGACACTGGAAGGTGACTGTTCACAATTCTCAGCCTGGAAGACGGACTCAAACCCAGAAAGCTGGCCTCATACCCACCACAAGTGAACCAGAGGAGGAAGGGGACCAGATGGACTGGGCGGGACTTCCTGAGGCCCCATCTACTCTTCTGCTGCCACACGCTTCCCACCCAGTTCAGAAACTCCATGTCCACTTCTTTAATAGTCAGATGGGCAGTTTCCATCTCCATTTTTATTGAAATACAAAAAGTGCAGAGGTGAAATACATGATTGATGCCAAGGAATTCATAAAGTGTGAATGTGTACACTTGATTCACAGTACAAGCCCTTCCCCCAGTCCCTACTAACCAGTCGGGTAGGGGAAGGGAAAGACCAAATAGATCCGTAGGCTCCCAGGAAAAGGGCCTGAGAACACCTGACACACAAAGTAGGGCAGAAAGCTGAGGCCTGTGCCCAGGCTAGAGACACTAACAGAACCAGCAGCCAGCCAGGTACCAGGATCCTGACACACCAGTGCCCTGGGAGAGCAGCCAAAAGGAATTGGGCTGGTCAGTGAGGACCCCCATCATACAGGCTCTAGGCTCTGGCCATGGCTGTGGGGACAGGGTCACTGTTCAGGATTTTCCCTACTGCCAGAAATCAAAAAGACTGCGGAGGGGTGGGGGTGGATTCTCAGTGTTCTCCATGAAGGAGTGTAATTCTAAAGGACAGTTGGAATGCAGGACGGCCATCATCACTGGAGTCCAGGTTGTCTGAAAGACAACAGGGTCCTGGGACCCCTACTGCCTGGGGAAGGTTGCTAGAACTAACTAGCAAAATCTCTGCCCAGGAGGAGGAAGGAGACACCACAGAGACCAGTGTGACTCCACAACACACACGACTGCAAGAGCCTTTGGCCTAGTCTGTCCTTAGACAAGGCACAGAGGCGGAGCCTGCTCCCCTGCTTAGGCACCGGGGGTCTCTCAGGGTGGGGGTACTGTCTGTCTCAAATGGATGCTAGAACTCAGCCATGTTATCCAAGCTGCGTCCAGGCAGAAGCAGGGGGTTAGAACATTCTGGGGGCAGTACCACTTGGGAAGAGCTGACCAGGATGTGTGAAAGAGAAGGCAGAAACAGAAAGCAGGTTCCAGGCTGAATTCCTTAGCTGTGGAAGTACCCATGCTGAGGGGAGGACAGAGCAAGGGGCTTGTACCCAGGCCTTCACCCAGACAGAGGGGAGCCTCAGAGGGCCTGCCTAAGCCAGCTCAGCCTTTCATTCCCCGGCAATCAGGAGGGGGCGGGCCAGCCCAGCTACCGTCCCAGCTGACCGTGATTTTGGCATCTGCAGTTGTCAGGCAAAGAGGCAGGAGAAAGGAGGAAAGGATTGCTGGAGCCAGTCCTCCCACTGGAAGAGCCAGGGCCAGCTCTGCACAGCCCCACAGGAACCAGGGACACAAGGAGGCAGAAGTATAAGGCGGACAGAATGTCTCATGGTAACAGCAAGGCCTCCAGGGCCGGCGAGGTGGACTGGAAAGAAGGGGAGGAGGAGCTGTCCAGTGGGCTGGCTCCAGCTTCTTTCTCCTCGGGCCTCATGACCCCTTCCTGGGCAGGAGCCCTCGGCTCCTCTAATGCTGATGCCAGGAGGAAGAGTCCGAATGGGCTCCCAGAGGAAGGGCTATCAGAGAAGGGGGCTGGTGGGCAGGGGCTGGGCTCAGAGCCCCTAGGAGTCAGGGGTAGGGAACAACTCCCCTTGATGGTCCAGGAGGAACTTGGTAAAGGTGTTGATGGGATTAATGGCCTTGAGAGTGATGGCAGCATCCTTGGCCCACAGCAGGTTAGGGCCAAAGACGACAGCCAGGTTAGTGTTGGTCATCTTGTTTTGGTCACACTGAGCGGAAACCTGTGGAGGGAAGTCAGAGGGCTGCAGCAGGGCCACAGACCCAGCTCCCATGCCCTACAACCAGCTACCAGAGCAGCAGGGGCCCGTGCTCCTCCCTCCTCCCTTCAGGCGAGAGGCAGACTCACCTGCACCAGGAAGGCAGTAAGGAAACGAAGCACCTGGTAGTTCTCCTCGGGCAACGTCTGAAGAACCTGCAGCGTCACCTCCACTCTCTGGCTCTCGTCAATGTCTATGAAGAATGGGGGCCGGGGTTACAGGGGCCCAAGGCTGGCTGGCTCAGGAAGCCCTCACACGAGACTAGAGGGGAGACCCCAACCAAACGCGCCTGCTCCGAGTCCAGCACAGACCCAGCAGAAGCAGCTCAGACCTGGAGTGGGAGAGAGCACTCACTGAGGAAGCCCACCACGTGAGGGTAGAGGTCAAAGGTGAGCAGGGGCTCAGGAAGCTCCCGGAGGAAGGTCTTGAGGATGACCGCTGGCAGGTGCAAGTCGTTGTACTGATCGAAGTCCACAGGCAGCCCTAAAGGTGGGTGGGGAGGAGGGTGAGGGGAGCTGGGCGGAGCCGGGAGGCCAGCAGCCCATCCGGAGGCCCAGGAGGCCCCACTGCCCGACCGCCCTCAGGGTCCTCCCGGAGAGCCTCTAGCACTGTCTTCACCTCTTCCTTTATGACAAGGGGATGCATTTGGGTGGAGTGGGACCCCCAGCACATACCACAGTCATTCCTTGTCTCCAAATGACCCTGAACCCAGGACCCAGAGCCTGACCCATGAGGGAGCAGGCCTGGAACAGCCACGTGGGAGTGGCATCATGTTATCTTAGCAGATGCCATAGGACAGTGGTCGGCAAACTCATTAGTCAACAGAGCCAAATACCAACAGTACGACGACTGAAATTTCTTTTGAGAGCCAGATTTTTCAAACTTAAACTTCTTCTAACGCCACTTCTTCAAAATGGACTTGCCCAGGCCTTGGTATTTTGAGGAAGAGCCACACTCAAGGAGCCAAAGAGCAGCATGTGGCTCTCGAACCTTTGACAGAAACAGAACCTGGGACCCTTGTTTATAGGGCAGTGAAAGGCAAAAGGCAGAGAAGCCCCTAACAGTCACACACCTGCCCACAACTCCTCCACCCTCCACCCCAGCGCCCACACGTGAGCTCGACACCCCAGGGCCACTCACCCATGTTGTACTTCTGCTGTACCTCTCGTACTACTTGGGTGTTGGCAGACCTCCGGAAAATCCCTTCCGTGGTGAGAGCTGGGAAACGGGGGGCCTGGTGAGTCTCAGAGTTCTGGGGTAAATGTAACTCCCCACCATTCGGTCTTGGGGTTCCAGTCAGTCAGTGCAAGGGCTGGTGCACATGGGAACTCCCAGCCCTGTCTGCCAGCTTCCTGAAGGGGCTGGGGGTCCCTGAGCAGGTCGTAGGGGCAGGTGGGCCCTGGCACTCACCGTTGGCCTGCAGGTGAGCAATAGTCTCGCGGACCACGAGAGGAATGGGCTCCTGCTCTGGGTTCTTCTCCTGGAGGCTGAGGGCACAAGGGCAGTGAGCAAGGTCTTCAGCCTGTCCTGGGCTCCAGGTGCCAGGTGCCCCCGTTCCCATACTCACTGCTGCAGGGAGACCCCAAACTGCTGGTTGGGCAGCGGGGGCCGAGGGGGCATGGGCTTGGGGGCTGTTGCAGGGCTCTTCTGTGTGGACTTCAGGAAGTCATCATACCTGGGGAGCAGATGGGACAGTCAGGCCCTCTGCCTGGCTCTGTGGTCACTACGATAACCCCCATTTGTCAGGCACTTCCTGAGCCCTTTTACATGGGCTAGTTCATTTGATCCACACAACCACCCAGCTTTACACAGGAGAAAGTGAAGACTTTAGAGAGATCTGACCCGGCCCAGACGGCATGGCTCAATGGTTGAGCGGCAACCTATGAACTAGGAGGTCACTGTTCGATTCCCAGTCAGAGCACATGCCCAGCTTGCAGGCTCAATCCCTAGTGGGGTCCATGCAGGAGGCAGCCAATCAATGATACTCTCTCATTGCTGTTTCTATATTGCTCCCTCTCCCTTTCTCTCTGAAATCAATAAAAATAGATAAATCCAGTCACTTTAAGTAACAGAAACAGAATCTGAACCCATACTCTCTCTCCTCATGTGCTGTCTCTCAGTCATTACATTTGCTTCCTCTAATTATCCTGGGATTCTCAAGGCTTCCTCTCCCCTTGGCTGGCACATCCCACCCCACAAACATGACACACATGTACACAGATGCCATCCAGGGGGCACACACAGTCCCTGCCCGGCCTCACTTGAGCACTTGGCGAGGGATCCCTAGTTGCTCCAGCTTCACGTGCTCGCTCAGCTCACTCAGGTAATTCACATAGAAGATCTTCTGCCCAAACTTGAAGCTGCCGAGGGAGGAAAGGGCATGGGTTGGGGAGAGCACTGGCTCCGGCAGGCCTCCACTGTCCCCTCAGCAGCACAGCCAGTCCAGACTGAGGCCCAGCCCCAAACGCTGTGTCCCCACGATGCTTGGCCTCCTCTGGCATCTGCTTCAGAGTTCAGGGGGAAGCACGGGGAGACCACCACCCCGCCCTCGGCCTGCTCACCTAATGAAGGGCTTGAAGAGGATGAGCAGGGTCTTGATGAACATGGTGGGGTGCACGATGTACAGGGCCTTGATGTTCTTCTTGTACCTGTGGAGGCAGAGTGGGAATTCAGGAGTGGGCGTGGCGGGGGAGACACAGAGTATGTTTTTAATGTACATCTTCTGATTTCACTCCTTATAGCGAGCTTGCAAAGTATCATTGCTGCCCCATTTTACAGATTAGGAAAAGGAGGCTCAGAGAGATTAAGTAACATGAAAGGTCACAGAACGAGTAGGTAGAGAAACGGATTTGAGCTCAGGCTGTTCCAACTTCAGATTCTTTGCATGTACCCAGGTGTGAGCACCTGACTTCCCCCGGCATGGAACAAGCTCCTGCCCAAGCCCAGAGCCACCTGCTCCAGGCCCTGGACCCCACCCCTGGGCCCCAACCCACTTTCGGTCAAACTCCCGGTAGGCATCGCGGAGCCAGCTGAAGGAGGGCTTGTTGTCGCTGGTCAGGCCGTGGTGCAGGTACAGCAGTGTGTAGTCACTCTCCACGTACTGGTCCAGGGTGTGCTTCAGGTACCTTCAAGCGAAAAGACCTGCTCAGGCCCGCCCTGTACACAGGTGGGGCCCCTTAAGCCAGAACCTGGTGCCATGGAATCTGCTAATATCAAACTCCCTCCCCACGACCCTTTGCCCCGCACTGTCCATCTGGCTGCATAAGCAGTTGCCATGCTAGGGTGGAGGGGTTGGGGTAGGGCTGGGGCTGGGCGGGGCAATAATAACAACAGCTCTCAGTTTTGAGCACTGACCAAAAGTCTGGAGACCAAGACTCTAACTGGAGCTCTCTCACATAATAGCAGTGAACATGGGAATAACATTTCCCTCCCAGGATTGTCAAATCAATAATGATACTCACTATTTATCAATATTAAGCTTTTAGCATCTGCCAAGCACTTATTATCTCATGCCTTCCTTAAAACAATCAATGCTGATAGTATCTCCTTCTTACAGGTGAGGGCAATGAGGCTTAGAGAGGTCAAGGGCATACCCAAGATCACACAGTTTATGCTGCAGCCTGCAGGCAAATTATCTAACTCCAAAACCTGCAAATTTTTTTCTTTTTTAAAAATTTATATTTTATTGATTTTTTACAGAGAGGAAGAGAGAGGGACAGAGAGTCAGAAACATAGATGAGAGAGAATCATCAATCAGCCGCCTCTTGCACACACACACACACACACACACACACACACACCCCCACTGGGGTGCTTGGCAACCAAGGCACATGCCCCTGACTGGAATCGAACCTGGGACCCTCAGTCCACAGGGTGACCCTCTATCCACTGAGCCAAACCAGTTTTGGCCTGCATTCTTTTTTTTTTAAGTTAATTTTTATTGGTTTCAGACAGGAAGGGAGAAGGAGAGAGAGAGAGAGAAACATCAATGATGAGAAAGAATCATTGATCAGCTGCCTCCTGCATGCACCCTACTAGGGATCAAGCCTGCACCCCAGGCATGTGCCCTTGACTGGAATTGTACCAGGGACCCTCAGTCCACAGGCCAATGCTCTGCCTGCTGAGCCAAACCAACTAGGGCAGTGGTCGGCAAACTGCGGCTCTTGGACCCCTTGAGTGTGGCTCTTCCACAAAATTCCACGTTTAGGTGCCCACCTACAGTGCGACTGAAACTTCGTGACCCATGAGCAGAAGTAGGGTTTCGGCCTGGGCGAGTCTATTTTGAAGAAGTGGCATCAGAACACTCAAGGGGCCAAAGAGCCGCATGTGGCTCGCGAGCCTCAGTTTGCTGACCACTGAGCTAGGGCAAGCCTGTGTTCTGGACCACAGTGCAGCTTTCCGCTTCTACTTGAATCCTCAGCACAGGCTGTGACACACTGCCTCTGAGAGGGGATCCCCTTCCCTGCTCCCTCCAATCACTGGGCTTTTCGTGGACCAAATAGCCACATCGCAGGCTCCCTATGCTCATAGCATACCTACTACTCCAAAGAAACACACGTAGTGTGGAGCCCCCCTAAGGTGGAGAAGTATAAAGAAAATGACCAAGGAATCCAGAAATGAAGGAATCCAGTGGAATGCACTCTTTCTGGTTGGCCAGTCCCAGGCCTCAGCAGGATCACTACTAGAGGCTGGGAGGCAGGAAACACAATGGTCCATGGGTGCTAGGCTCTGCCAGCACAGGCAGGCATGTGAAGTAGCTAGGGATGAATTGTTACTCTGATTCCAATCACTATTATTACATAATACTTTACCCCTTAGATACATAAAAATATGGCATTTAAAATATATTTTATTGATATTTTACAGAGAGGAAGGGAGAGGGATAGAGTTAGAAACATTGATGAGAGAGAGACATCGATCAGCTGCCTCCTGCACATCTGCTGGGGATGTGGCCTGCAACCATGGTACACGCCCTTGTCTGGAATCGAACCTGGGACACTTCAGTTCGCAGGCCGACACTCTATCCACTGAGCCAAACCAGTCAGGGATAAAATATGGCACTTTGCAACTAAAAATAGCAATACTTATATTGAAAATACACTCATCCTTTGATGGATTTTATTACCTCTAGGAGGGCAATAAAATGGTATCTATCAGAAGCTATAAAATGTTCCTACCCTTTGACCCTAAGAAAAGAAGCAGATGCCGAAACCGGTTTGGCTCAGTGGATAGAGTGTCGGTCTGCGGACTGAAAGGTCCCAGGTTTGATTCCAGTCAAGGGCATGTACATTGGTTGCGGGCACATCCCTGGTGGGGTATGCAGGAGGCAGCTGGTCGATGTTTCTCTCTCATTGATGTTTCTAACTATCTCTCTCCTTCCTCTCTGTAAAAAAAATCAAGAAAATATATTTTAAAAAAGAAAAGAGAAGCAGAGATGAACAGAAACATTTTTGTAGAAGGCTATTCATTGTAGCCCGTTTTATAATGGAAAAACAGCAACAAATGAGCAGCAAGCTAGCTATGCAACAACAGAGAATCGGTTAAAAAAAATCACAGGACGTCTATAAATAGAATACCTCACAGGCTGCTCCCGCAGACAAAACCAATCTGTGAAGTGAGATGTTTGAACAGTGGTAGCTCTTTATGGTGGTGACTGGAAGAGCGAAGGGAGGTTGGTGGGTGGGGCTGACACGGGTGGGTTCAGTTTTTCCAAATTTATCAGGTGGTACACATAATTGGTTCACTTTTCTGTATACATATCATATGTCAATAAAAACTTTTAACGGATGTCTTTGATGAATGTTTAATGCTCAAAAGATAAAAGCATTACATAAGATACAAAACCGATTATAGAGCCTTGTATATGTTATAGGCAAAAATAGGAAGCAAATGCACTAAAATATTAACAGTGGTTTTCTCTCTGGGTGATGAGGTTTATGGGCAACTTTTTTATATAGTTGTGCATATTTTTCTTTAAAAATGGATACAATAGCATTTAATGTATGAATTTTACCCAATGCCCACAACAGCCCTGTGAGGTGGGCACACTTCTTATTCTATGGGGCTCAGAAGACACCCACCCCCAAGTACACAGCTAGGAAGAGGCAGAGAGGAAGTCTAATCGGGCTTCTGCATCCAGCCGCAGGCTCTTTCTGCTTCAACCCCCAGACCTGGGTGAGAGGACAGGCCTGATCCTTGATGGACGTGCCTCTCTGCTCCCAGAGGGACTGTGACCAGGTCAGGTGGGGGAGGGGAGATCTGCTATCAGGATGGCAGAGGGCTTCCTGAAGCCAGGGAAAGCCCCAGAGTGGGTGCCGCCTCACTCACCAGGCTCTCTCTCTCCTGAAAACCAGGTGCTTTCCCATCCCCATCCTCTGACTTCCTCCCATTCGGACTATTATCTGGCCAAGAGTCTCTCAACTGCCTGTCAGATGTGATAAAACTAGGGGTGGGGCGGGTGGAGGGATCCATGACTCAGTCACCTTCAGGCTGAGCTCCTTGGCCTACTCTTGGCTGGGCCACGTGGTGGGCCTGGACCAGGCTCTGCCTGCCTGACTGAGGAGCTGGTGGAAGGAAGAGTTCAGGAGGCCAGAGAGGAAGATGGCACACAGGGCTGGAGACTAGGGTCTGGCCGTGGCTCACTGGGGCTAGAGACTCAGCACTCAAGCCCTTCCCCTTCAGCTACTGTACCCCTGGACTATCCTGACCCCTCACCATACCCAGAACCATTCAGAACTGCAAGGAGTTGATATGGGCAGTGAAGACATTTCCAATTTCAGGGAGCACTTTCAACTCGTCAGGAAGAAGTGCAACATGGCCCTAACCGGTTTGGCTCAGTGGATAGAGGCTTGGTCGTAGGACTGAAAGGTCCCAGGTTTGATTCCGGTCAAGGACATGTATCATGGTTGTGGACTCGATCCCCAGTAGGGGGCATGCAAGAGGCAGCTGATTAATGATTCTCTTCCATCATTGATGTTTCTATCTCTCTCTCCCTCTCCCTTCCTTTCTGAAATCAATAAAATTATATTAAAAAGAAAAAAAAAGAAGTGCAAGATGGTAGCTGAACACACACTGAGGAGCATCAGGAGCGCAGTAGGGCTCTTCCTCCGTGGAGTCCCGCCCATGCTGTGGGCCCCGGGCTGGCAGCTGTGGCTCAGTAATGAATGTTTATTGGGACAGGGCTTGTCAAACTCTCTGTTATTTTTTTCATGTTTTTAAAATACCTTATATGGTAAAACTACAGCAAACACATTTTTTGTTCGAAGAAGGAAAATAAACGCTCTGGTTCTAAGGATGATGTAAGCTGCCCCTGGCTCCTCAATGGCACTGCAGCGTAGGCTGACTTTCACTGTGGCTTCTGCAGCCTCAGTCGTTCCCCCCCCCCCCCCCCCCCCAGCTAAAACCACACTAAACGCACACAGAGCGAGTGGAAACGCCCCCCGTTGCCACTGGCTCCGTAACGAACCAGTTGAGAAGGAAGCTGAACCAGGGCAATGAAGCAGGCAGTACTACAGTGACAATGGTATGGCCGATCAATTCTGGAATTGCCCATTTTCAATAGAACCGTGAGCTCCACGGAAGCAGATATCTTTCCTGCTTCTTCATGGCTGTGCCTGGTGCCAGCAGACACAGCTCCCGGAGTCCCGGCAGGAACCTCCCCGCGGCCGCCACATTCAAACTCCCACTTTCAATCAGCCTCCTGCCTTGCATCAGGAGATTTCAGACTAACCAGAGCTGTTTTATACATAAAGGCAACAGTATCCAGGCAGGTACAGACGCCAATGGCACCAAATAACAGCACTACTTATGCATATACATGGGGAACTACAACCACATTGGAGATAACCAGATTAGCCCTCACATTTGGACAGGATTTTACTTTTCCAATCATTTTCACACACAGTATCCCGCTCCTGCAAGAAAGGAGGGCTGTATGAATATTCCCTAGGAAAAGTGAAGAAAAAGAGACTTAAAAAGATGAAGACACTTGCCAAGGTCACACTTCCCAGGACTAAAAACCAGGTCTGACTCCTCCCTCTTCTTCCTCTTCAGGAGAAGAGGGAGGCAGGGGGGAGGTGGCCTGGCACCCCACACAGGGAGGGATAGTAAGGAAAACAACACCAGGCCACGCTGGGGATCTGGGCACAGGTCCCATCACCTTCCATACAGGTACTCACCCCAAGAGCTTGCTGTGGTCCAGCTGGTGGCTGGGAGGCATTCGGCAGGCACTAAACACAATGATCTTCCGCCCATACTTGTCATCTCCTAGATTGGAGAAGATAGAGCATGGTGGGTGAAAGATGAACCAAGAGGAGCAGGCTGAGGGCTGACAGGTGCCAGGCCTGGAGACCGGTACCATTTAAGACAGCGGCCAGAGAGGGCCATGCAGATGCACTGTGGGCAGGTGCCTGCACTGGAGGGGGTGTCGCTGAGGGAAGAGGGACAGGTTGCTCTCAGGGATACTGGGCTGGGTATAACGAAATAACATGACTTTCAAAAAAAAAAAAATCACACCTGGTGGAATCAAGCCAAATGTCCATCAACAGATTGAATCGGTAAAGAAAAGGTGGTATGTCCATGCAATGGAATACTGGTCAGCTATAAAAAGGAATGAAGTACTGATGCATGCTACACTGTGAATGAACCTTGAAAACATATGCTAAGTGAGAGAAGCCAGTCACCAAGAGCTACACACTATATGATTCCATTTATGAGTTATCTAGAATAAGTAAATCTATAGAGAGCAAATTAGTGGTTGTCATGATTGGGAGGGGGCAAGAACAGAGACTGACTTGATTATGAGTACGGGGCTTGTGTGGGCATGGTTGAAATTCTGGAGTACATGGAGATGGAGATACACAAGATTGTGACTACTAAATACCACCAAATTGTACAATTAGGAATGGCTAATTTATATCACACCCTGTCTCAAAGCAACTGTCTTGCCAAGGAGCCACCTTCAAAGTCACACTTATTTCAGAGGCATCCGCTTTAAGCAGTGTGTATTTGGAAAACCTCACCGAGGAAATCAGCCTGATTATATTATACAATAGTCTCTCTCTCTTTTTTCTTTGTTAATCCGCTCCTAAGGATACTCTTTCCATTGATTTTTAGAGAGAATGGGAGAGGAAAAGAGAGAGAGAAAAACATTGATGTGAGACATTGACTGGTTGCCTTCTGCACAGGCCCCAAGGGCCAGGGATTGCGTCCTTGATCAGAATCAAATCCTTGACCCTTCAGTCTGCTGAGAAACCACTGAGAAACCCGGCCAGGCCAACAGTAGTCTCATTTTCTCCCACTAACAACACTTTCTGATTTTATTAGAATTATTAACCACACTTGCCTCTAAAATTTAGAGTCTAAATCCTGGACATTTCTAAAAATCATATCCTTTGTCATTAAGGATATTCCAAAGAACATGAAGTTGAGAGGAGTTTGTAATGCTGTGGGAAAATGTTCATTTGGATGTAATGTGTCTGGGATGTTTGTCCACAACTAGTCATAATTTGAAGGTCTGACCATCATGAAACCAGGGAGCTCCTGAGACATATGTTTTTCCTCCCCAAAAGTGAGATGTCCTTCCAGGTCAGCATGGATCAGGAACCCCAAGCAAAGACCCATGGGGACAAGACCTGGTCCCTTCCTTCCCTTCAGCTCTGCCCTCATGCTTCTTCAGAGCACCAAGCCACATTTGCTTCACCCTGATTGTTTCAGAGGCAAATAGAAAGACCACTGACACAACCCACGAAGCGCATTGAGTCTGTCCGCCATCTCCCTCTGAGGATTAAGGATCCCCCAGGCCTTGCTGAGGGTTTTCTCCATATTTAATAAGCCATGACCTTGATGGTCCTTCTTGGTCAGTGACTTCACTCAGGAGTTGGCTGTAAGTGATTGTCAAGGCTCTGACTCTATTCTCTAGGGCTGGGGCCAGCATCTATGGAGAGGCTGAGAGAGGCTTCTGGAATATGGGCAAAGCCGGCCTAGTCCCTGCTGGCCACATTCCTTGGAATGGCTCACAGGATTATTCAGGCTTGGCTCCTGCCTCTCCAGGCTCACACTGGGCACTCTTCTGAGACAAAGTGCTTGCAGCCTTGTGCACAGTAGGCTGTTTCTCATGCTGGACGGACCTTTCTCTGGACAATTTTGCTCCCCTCCTCTAGGCTAAGTCCTCTGAATTTTAATTTAAGACTCATCCAAGGCATAATCTCCTCCAGAAGCCTGTGTCTTCTCCTCCTTCCCCTAGGCAGCTCAGCTGTCCCTTTTCATGGCTCCAAACATGAACCATTATCCATGATGCCCTGACTCTTCTAAATAATTGTTTATGTGCCTGTCTCCTCTATTGGTTTGTGACAGCTCCATCTTTTAATCTTTCACGCCAGACCAGAGCGAAGCATGTGGCAGGTATTCAATAAATGCTGGTAGTCCGCACAAAGACATCAGTCAGAATTACACAGTATGCATGGTTCTATTTCTGGGTTTGTTCATGACCTCTAGGTCATCAGACTGCTTGAGGCAGTAAGTTTCCCATAGTCTGGGGCAGGATTTCTCCAGACTTAAAACCAGAGAAACCTCTGCAAGCCTGTGTGAGGGGGAGAGGGTGCAGTTCATCTGGCAGCAGGTCTATTTTGATGAACCGGATATCACTTGCTCTCTCATACCCTAGCCTAGATCCTGGTGTTGGATTCCTTCCAGGCCAGGGGGGAAGGGGCAGTCTCAGGGGTATACTGTGATTCACTTCCGATGGGATCTGAGAGTAAATGGAAGAACAGACTGGGTCATAGGATTAAACTGGCCAGCCCAGCCTCATGTACAATCTAGAGCACATGTGTCAAACACAAGGCCCGCGGGCCAAATCCGTCCCGCCAGGCCTTGCAATGTGGCCCGCACCACACTGTCATCACTGCACTCCGCTGCGTTTCCATCACAATGACAGTTTATGACTGTTCAGTAAACCATTCGGCCCGAGATTTAGGCTGGATTTTAGATTTTGGCCCCTTCTCTGATTGAGTTCGACACCCCTAATCTAGAGCTTTAGGAACCCCTGGGCCTCCTACTAAGAGCCTGTGAAGGGAGGGACATCATTTGCCTACTCCCCTCTAAACAGGAAATGTCCCGGATGTGGGGTAAAACCCAGGGAGGAGCATGGGGATTCCAAGAGATTCTTCCTATGCCTGCCCCCAACAGTAAGGCAGTGCTCATTGGCTGGCAGACTTGAGGACTTAGGCAGGAAAGAAAGTCTGAGCTCACTGGGCTTTGGAATTTGAAGAGCTAGTAACTGATTAAGCAGCAATTAGGGTGAAGGGCCAGAGCCTGTGCTCCATTGCTCAGCAGGCCCAGCACCTTGTACGTGGGAAACTGGATCCTCAACCGTGGCTCCCCCGATGGGCATCCACCAATGCCATGATGTCATATGAAAAAATATGACAAGCACATGCATGTGTTCGCTAGGGCAGTAGGTCTACACTTTTCACATTCTCAAAGACCAGCTTGAAGAACCACTTCACTGGCCTGGGCACTCCTTGTAGAAAGGAGTGTGTATTTTCCTTCAACGAATCCTCAGTGCTGACTAGGAGGCTCAATCCGGAGCAGATGTTCAAAAAAGGAAGGCTGAGCGAAGTCGGGATGGGGGTGGGGGACAAAAGGAGAGGAGTGAGGTAAGGCGCCCAGACAGGTGAGGAATGAGGTATGGGCAACCTGAGGGTCTCGCCCCCACCCTTCCTGCGTGCCCAAGTCCTTCGGTGACCCAGGCATTTGCCAGCAGGCAGGGTGACTGCTGCCCTAAGAACATAGGTAACAAGGCCCAGGACTCCCCTCCTGGTCCGAGAAGAGAGTAGACTTCTGCCCTGGAGACTGAAGGGACAGGAGCTGAGGCAGCACTAGTGCTCCCGGAGCTGGGGGAGGGCTCAGTCAGGAGGCACACAGCTGTGGAAAGCACCAGGAAAAGACCAGCCGCCTGAGAACGAAGCCTCTGCATTCCCCAGATACCGATCATGAATTCTCCCAGGGCAGCCTGGGTGTTAATCAGCAACAGCAGCTCCTCCAGCAGCCATTCTGGGAACTGCCCGGCAGCCAGGCCAGCCACCTGCCCCGCCCACAACCTGCAGGGCAGGCCAAAGAGGTGGGAGGTGGGGGCTGGGCAAAGTGCTGGAGCCGGCTCATATAGCTGTTATATTGTTAAACTGTCAGGAATATTGCAAGCCAGTTGACATCGTGTTGGTAGCTTGAAATCTCTCATGGTAGAAATTTCAAGTGGTACAAATAATAACCTTCCCCCCCCCCTTTCAGGAGGGCCACCTCTATCAGCACACCACTGGCAAGAACCTGTGTGGACTGAGTTCAATGTGACAGTGGAGCATGACAGCAGCCGCTAGCGCTAACAGAGGCTGCAGAGGAGGCGGGGGCATAACCCAGCCTCCATTGCAACGTGGGCTCTTTCTCTGGTTTCTAATGCCAGGAAGCGGGCCCGCCAGGATGTCAACATGGTCACATCAAACAGGTCTCACTCTGGCAGTGCCAATCCAAACTCCACTCAGCAGTCAGAGAGGCACAGGCTGGCTCGGGGGACAACCCCACCCGAGGGACGCTGCGCCTGCAGCACTCAGCTCAGGCTTCAGGAGCCAGCATGCAGGCCAGGCCATTGCTCAGAGCCAGCCACCTCCCTCGCTACCTCTGTGGACCCTGCTGTCCCTGAGGCTCCTTTCCCTTAGGTTCCGGATGTATTGCCACACAGCTGCCACCCATAATTCTTTGCTATTTCCGGCTCCCAGGCACCGCCCACTGCCAGCTCCCTAGAGTGGGGCTGCAATTAAGCTGTCCCAGGAACCCTTCCTGATTCACAGTCCAGAGGCCACAGCCCAGAGGCGCCAAGCAGGGAGAGCCAGGAACACACCTACCTGGCTGGGCCCCCTCAGGCTCATCACACCCTGGGGAAATAGAAACATGTTGCAGCTCTGCCGGCAGGGCAACAGGGGTCACCCCTGGGGAGAGGAGCAGCCTGCTCTCCTTGTGACCTGGCCACATAGGCCAGGAGGATGTCAGGATAGAGACTCCTTCACATCAGGCAGAGTCCCCCACCCCTACTCCCGCCCCCCTGCCCCAATCAGGTGCCTCTCTGGTAGAAAGGAAAGACAGTTCTGAACTTTCAGGAGTCTGTCCTGTGTCCAGGTCAGGATCAGATCAGGAAAGAACTCTCACCCTGCTTTTGTTGGGGTGAGAGAGGCCGTAGCCAAGTCCCCCAACCCAGACCTGGGCGGGGTCCAGGAACACAGATGTCATGGGAATACCTTTGACATTAGGGATGACCTCCGAGCCCAGCACTGAGGAGAGGCCAGATGCCTTCAGTCCCCACAGCCAGACCGCACTGCCTGACACTGGGTCCAGAGACCATGTGCCCCTGCTCCCCTGCCCATTCCAGTGACTCAGAGCAGGGCCAGCTGTCACTCTTGCTTATAGCTGCCTGGCCTCACTGAGGACCAACAACCATTAGGGAAAAGATAAAGAATCTTGGAATTAATTTCCTCTATTTAGCAGTAGGACCCTGAGGGCAGAAACCAGGGCATCGACATCCCTGCTGCCTCTCCTGGCCCTGCCTCTCTTGTCCCAGGCTTCTGGGTACTGCATTATGAACAGGAGGGTGGGAGCACATGGGGGCCAGACTGGGGGATACTCTGCACCCATTCTAATAGGGTAAGACAGCTGCTGGGAACCTGATGCTGCGGGGTCATGTGGCCCAACTTCTGATTTCCTTCGAGGTAGGAAGAACTGGCACCTGCCTGCTCTCCAGTCACTGAGGGAGTAGAAAAGCTGGCATGAGGGCAAAGGAAAGGGAGGTAAATGACCACTTATTCAGGGCTAACTATGTACTCTGGGCTAGGCCCCGGCATACATTCACTATTGCAATTCTCTCAACAAACGCTGCCAGGAAGAAATGAGTTCAGAGAGCAAAGCTAGAAATCAAACCAGGGCTTTCAAACTTCAAAGCCACTAGGCCACACTGCCTCCTACACACCATCCGCCAGTGGAGACAGTGGGGTCACAGTTTAGGAAGTGGTTGCAGGGGAACAGACCAAGTGGCCACCACAATCAAGTCAGTGAGTTTAAAGAATGATGCTCAGGAGATCCAGGGTCAGGGGTCAGACCACAGAATTGGCATTACCCTGTAGTGTAAGGGGCTGCAGGCTATGAGGAAAAAGATGCAAAATTGGGTGTGCTTACCTGCCACCTCCACAATCTGGTGCCGGGCAATGTCATAGTAAGGGTCATCCCACTTCAGGTGTGTGACAGGCTCCGGGGAGCTGCTTTTGGAGTCATCTGAAGAATATGGCAAAGTGAGGGGAGAGCCTGGGGGGCTGGCCCAGTGTTCACCCTGAGACCCGTGCTCTTGGGCCCTCTCCCCAGGAAGGCTTGTGCTCCTAGCCCCACCCTGGGGTTGGTCAGCTTGCCCCCATCTGCCCTCCCAGAATCTCCCGCCAGTAGGAAGGTGTCTCCCCATCTAAGGTGCCTGTAGATGCCCGAGATCCAGTGGTGCCCACCTGACTTGGGAAAGTCGGGCATTTCATCCGAAGGCCAGTTCTTCTCATCAATGGAGGCTAGCTTCAGCTGGTTCAGAGCCTGGCTGGTGTCATCCAAGGTCAGGTCATCCTGCAGTTCTGAAAGTGGGTCCATAGCTGAGCCTGTCCCGACAGCCTCACCCCACAGAACCTGAAGAGAAACCTGGGAGAAGGCAGTTACAGGTGTAAAGAGGGTCAGCAACACTCTCTTTATACCTGCAATTGCTATAGCTAGCCTCCTTCCCTGTTGTTTTTATTTTTTATTTTATTGATTGTTTACAGAGAGGAAGGGAGAGGGATAGAGAGTTAGAAACATCGATGAGAGAGAAACATCAATCAGCTAGCTGCCTCCTGCACCTGCCCTTGACTGGAACCGAACCTGGGACCCTTCAGTCCGCAGGCCGACGCTCTATCCACTGAGTTAAATCGGTTAGGGCGTCCTACCCCATTCTTTCCTCCCCTAAGCTCCCTTGTCCCTGTCCCTGAACACTTCTCATCCTTGCCAAGAGTTCCATGTAGTTCCTGGTCCTTCTGGCGCCACAGTTTTCTGACATGTTGCCAGAAAAGGCAGCTGGGCAGAGGATGGCACAGCTCAGTGCCTGCCTTCAGGTCCTCCAGCTGGATGGGGAAGAATCGTGCCAGGCTCTGCACTGCCTACTGCCCCGCTGGTTCAGTCCTATAGTCCCAGCTGCAGGGGGCAGAGGTCCGAGCCCCTCTCCTAAGGGGTCATGGAGCACAGAATGCTTCCGGACCCTAGCAGTGATGGGCAGAGATGGTATAAAAATCTAAGGAGCGTATGGGTGCTCCAAACCCCTGGCTACTCTATCTCTGACCTCTGAGTTGGGGAAGAGGAGGTGGCCAAAGACCACAGGGACCCAGAAAATAGGCCTCTGCTGGGTCTGCCCAGGGAGCCAGGAGCAGAGGATGGAATCTGCCTGCCACTCATAGCAGGTTCCTGGAGGCTCCCAAGCCCACTCTAATCTGCGGGAGCTCCAGGCGCTAACTTCGAGATGGCTAAGGTCAACAGCCTGTCCCAAGGGCTGGAGGGCACAGATGGGAAAGGGGGAAGTTCATGACATCAGAATGCTGAGATACAAGAGGTGAGAAAGAGAACAGCAGCTAGAGCAGACAGGGAAGAAGAGCCATTCGGAAACCGGGCTTGCTCGGGTCTGGGGTTTGGCTGTAAGGAAGTGACCGCACGCACGCAGCCTGGAGGCAGCACTTTCTGCCCTCAGCCCTGACGGGAAGCACACCCCTCTCTCATCACAAGCTCACCACATGGGCAAGGAGTGCAATTTCAATTCAACCCAGTCAGTCTAGCCTCAGAGAGGCTGCTCTAAGCTTGCTGCATTCCTGGAGTCTAAAAAATGACATATATGGTCAGAGAACCATCAGGGCAGATAAGGAGTGCAGACGAGACCCAGGAACAGACAGGAAGGAAGAGAGAATTGCCACCGGGGATTCAGACCCTGAACACTCTGGACTCGGAGGTGGCATGACAACCTCCCGTACAAGTCACAGCCAAGGACTCTGGATGGTAAACTGGTTCTGTGTAACTAGCAACAACCATCCTGTTACCAGGGCAACTATCCCGATTCAGTGGCAAAAGCTGTTTCGAACTCCTGAGCCAAAGCTGAGCAGCCAAAAAACAATAAACCCCGTCCCCCCACCTTTTTCCTCTTCTCTTTAGGTCTCTTTTGCTACCCTTATTCACTACTGCTGATACCGCCAAATGTAAGTCCCTTCCCAAGAACATAAAAGAAGACTCTCTCCTGTTTGGGAATGCGTTTTTCCCAGGGAGTGCTGCTGTGCCCCTCACTCCGGATTCCCTAGTCCCCTTCAACCTTCTAAGGCAGGCAAACCTTAGTCTTGAGTATTCATCCCCTGATTCATCTACATACTCCTCCCTACATTCAACCAGGAGGCTGTGCCAAGGCCCTCTCACCCCACAGCTGGATATTAGGGACAGAATGCAGCTCAAAGTAACCCTCTCCAGTCTTGAGCCTTCTCTCCTTCCCTTCTTTCTGTCATTGCCCCGGCACCAAGTGGCCCTTCAGCTCTGCCCACAGCCACCCAGAGAAGTCTTTCTGCACACAGTGGGTGCTTCATGCAATGAAAAAGGCAGGGGATGAGGTGTTTGGGAGAACTGGATCACAGTCCTGCCTAAACCAATGAGTTGCAAAGATGCTTGGGCAGTCCTTTTCCTGTCTGGTCCTAAATGTCCTCATCTGTACAAGTGAAGGCTCCTTCCACAAATATAATTCTTCAGGGTCCTAAAATACTGTGCTGAAGTGAACAACAGGATTAGAAGGAACAGCTGGTAGCTGAAGTATGTGTGAGGGAGGCGGTCATCCTCTAAAGTTTAAAAGGAGAACTGGAAGTCCACCTCTTTTCCAGTAACTCCTCTATTTTGTCCGTTTTCCTAGACCTGACCCCTGCTCCCCCATAACCTCCTCTTCCAGAATAACTAGTCACAGTTGTTCCCACCTCCCAACTGGCCTCTCTCACCACCCTCCAACCCACAGTTGTTGCTCCCTGTGAGCCTGGAAGTTTAGCTCCCACTCAGAGGGAGGGAGAGCAAAGCTAATGAGGGGAAATTCTAACATTTAGTGGAAGCGAAGTATCCTGGCTGCCTAAGACTCCAGGCACCTACAAGCCCCGCTCCACTCTGCAAAATACTCCTCACTTGGAGGTTACGTTTTCCCTTCTCGGTAGGTAAAAATCTACCTTTATAAAATCTCAGGACTCACTTTTGGCAGTTTAGGCAGTTTTTACCTAGAGGTTTTAAGCTTTGGGAAGTCTGGACCTCTCAGGATTATTTATTTATTTAAAATATCTTTTTAAATCGATTTCAGAGAAAAAAGGAGAGGGAGAGAGAGATAGAAACATGCATGATGAGAGAAAATTGTTGATCGGCTGTCTCCTGCATGTCCCACACTAGGCATGGAGCCTGCAACCCAGGCATGTGCCCTGACCAGGAGTAGAACCGTGACCACCTGGTTCATATGAACCTCTGAAATTCTGACACAAGTTGTGGTCTTTCCCCCTAAGACAAATCAGCACTTGCATGAAATCTATGAAATTTTAAGTGGTTCGCATGCCTTCTAAGAATCTCTGTTTAAGAACTCTGACCTATTAAGAATTACACCTGCCACAGGTAGCTACTCAGTCATTTGTTGAATGACATATTGAATTAATTCACCTCCTAAGTGGAGAAGGGAAGCAACATTTGTTGAGGGCCGTATGGCACCATGAACTGGACACAAATTATCTATTAACTTTACAACAGCATCTAAGAGGCATTGTACCACTGGGCCCATTTTCAGTGTGAGGACAGTGAGCTCCAGGAAACGAAGCAAATGCCAACAGTCACACAACAGAGTCAAGGTTTTAATCCACATCTGTCTAAGGTGGTCTCATTGTGCAGGTCAATCCCTCAATGTTTCCCTAAGTGACTGTACTTCATTCATGCGATTCTCAAGGTTGAGAGAAGTTCCACAAAACAAAAACAAACAAACACCACAAAACAAGGCCTCTCCCCTAATCTCCTCCGAAAAGAACAGAGGTAACAACTTAAAATCGCTTTCTCTGGCCTTAGGATCGTCTTCCTAGAAGCTCCAAACTGTGAAAACGCAAATCCTACATCAGCAAGGCTTTCCAGTACATTCACGTTTGCATAGAGCCCCATGGTTTACAAAATCCGGATTGGGTGCACCGATTATGAAACAGAGATGAACGCCAGGCCTAATAGGTGGCAGGGTGAAACACTTCCCCCAAATTTCTTTCTCTTCGCGTTTCGCGGGATCGGAGCAGGGAGCCTTTCCCTCCCATGGGCTGGCTCGAAAACAGCAATCTGAGCCGGACTCTGCACTAGGGAGGGCAGGAGGAAGGCAGCGAAGGAAGCCCAGTCCTCTCTCTGCAGACCCGTGAGCGGGGCAGAATCCCCGCAGCAGGAAGGCCAGGCCCCCAGGTCCCACTGCACCCTCCTCCCTTCCTCGGATCCTCCCCGTCGGGATCGCAGCCCTTCAGACAGCCAGGCCAGGCCCTTCCCTTCCCCCATCACCGCCCGGGGAGACCCGCGCCCATCAGCTCACCGCGGTCGGTCGGGCTCCGCTCCTTTTGCCACGCCTGTCAGAGCTCGGCAAACATCCGGCTCCGCTGCAAAAAACGGGAACCGCCTCCTCCCGGGCTCCTTGCTCCCCAGCCACTTCCGCCACACCTCCAGCCCACTTCCGACCCGTCCCCGGGCCAAACTTGGCCTTCCGCGGAGCCCACTTCCGGTCCGCGCCCGCCGGGGATCAGGACAGCATCACTGTCCGAAGCCTCCCTCCCAGAAGGAGGCGGCTGGGGCGATTCGTTCCTCTTTCTCTGGCACTCGAGCCTCCGGCGGCCCCCGGAGCCCTAAAGCGGATTGTTTTCCGACTGGGTTGTGCTTCACCAGTGCTGCCACACTCCCGGTGCTGTGCACCAATGAAGTCCGACGTGTACGATGCTTTCCTGAGAGTAAATTGGGCAATGCATAGCTGTTTCCGGGAGGAGCTGAGAAGGCGATGCTCACTTCCGGTGGAAGGGTTTTCTTTTCTGCCCGGGGATGGAGGCGGCGGCGGAGCTGCTCTTGGAGCGGGAGAGGCTGCCGTTCGGTGAGAGGCCTGCGAGATCGCTGACCCTGGGCCTTGGCCTAGATACACTTGACATTCTCCGGTCTATTCTCTGCCCCGACCCTTTCCCTCCGGAGCCCGGGAGCCTCCTCTGGTGCTCTCAGTCTCGGGAGGGTTTCTTCAGAGTCCCCGAACCCTCTCAGATCTCTCAGGGGCTTCCAAGGAGCCCTTCTGGACCCCTCAGGCCGGACGTGCGGTTTTCGCCCCGCCACGCCTAACTCACGACCTCTTGGGTCACTCCCTCATTGCCTTCCTACCTCCTTGCAGACCCCGAGCGGCGCCGGGATCCGGGCGCAGGATGGAGCCCTTCTGCAGAAGGCTGTGCGGCCTGGCCCACCCGAGCCGTCCATGCTTTAAAGACCCTCCCCCAGGGGTTAGCCCTGGGCCCCTCACTCGTGGAGAAACAGCGCTTGGGGGTCTGGTGTGTCGGGAAGCCTCTGCAGCCAGGAGTGCTCTGGGGGCCGCTGGGAGAGGAGTCTGTCTCGGAGCAGAAGGACGAGGGAGTGCAACCAAGGCAGGAGAAGGTATGCAGAGCTAGGGTGTCTCTTCTTTGTCATTGAACATTTGGGAGCGGTTCAGACAGCTTCTGGACAGCTCTCCGGCTTGTTAGAAGAAGCAGGGCATTTCCGGAGAGAAGAGATGGTTTTGTCCTTCCCTCCAGAACTGTCTCTTCCCCTCATCTGCCGTAGTTTAGGAATCGAGGTGCAAAAAGTTGTTAAGAGCTGGATTAAAATAGCGTCACTCTTGATGAAAGTCAAGAGCCAAGGTCTTGGAATTAAAGAGCCAGGGGATCATATCCTAGTCGTAGTACACAAGTTAGTTAAATAGCATGTTTCATTTAATTTATGTAAAACAAAGGAATGGCTGTTTCCTTTATTTCAATCCTGCAGGATTATTTGGAGCAATCAATGAAATGACACGGGTAAAGGGTTTTATTGCATAAAAAGCACTAAAAAGGAGAGTTGCTATTCCTCTTACTACTTTTTCTGTTTGGTACCTACTAGAAGGCAGTAATGTGTTCAGTTTAGTAATTCTCCACACCCTGGGAGGGAGGTGTGGGGACAGTCTTTTCGGCATTTTGCTGAATGAAAAGTCAGACAACACAGTCTAGTATAGGCAGACCCAGAAACCATTAACCTTCCAGGGCCTTTCTCTTAGATCTTAGGAGAGCTTATGTCTGTTTTGTTTTTTGTTGTTTCTTCCGCTCTGGCCCCCTCAAACACATGGGAGAAGGACTTGTATTGGTTTATTTCAGGACGTGTCACTTGGCCTGTGGGGAGACGTGTGTGCTTGTGAGCAGAGTTCAGGCTGGACCAGGTAAGTTACAGGAGAATACTATGTAGTCAGGTTGTTCTTTTGAGGCTTTCTGTTGGGGCATGGGATGGAACCGGAAGCTGGCTGTCATTCCCCACACACTGATCTTTTGCAGTGAGCAAAGGCATGGGGTCCTTAGGACTCAGGCTGACCAAGAACTGGGCTTACTGGGAGGGCCATGTGAAGAGAGTCTCTTGAGTTCTTTCTTGCTCTGCTTTGCAGTTTGGTGCAGCGGGGCAGGCTGGAGGGCGAGGGAAACGTGGCCCCAGTGTGGACCAGTGAGAGGCTCCACCTGCAGGTGTACCGGGTCGTGCTGCCAGGCTTTGAGCTGCTACTGTGGCCCCGGTCTCCCTCCAAGGGCCTCAGTCCCACCCAGTCTGGGCTAGAAGAAGAGGCAGCTGCGGCTGAGGTGACAGAAGTGGAATCTGCTGTCCAGCAGGAAGCAGCCTCTCCTGGGGAGGATGCAGGAGAACCTTGCGCAGGTATGTGTCAAATAAATGCTCACTTCCCAAATTATCACCAAACTACTATTGATAAGACAAAAATGGGGCTTATGGGTGAAGAAGGCAAAGTAGCACACTCCAGAGCCCTAGCAGCTTTTCTGAAGGGGTAGGGCAAAGCCTGGATATTTATTGAAAATTTGAAGTCTGGTATTAAGGTCACTTTTTCAGTGTGGGATAAGAGCAGGGCTTGATTTGGATTGGTTAAGGAGCATCACATAATAGTAGTTCAGGATTCATGGACACAGGAAAGCTAGAATTTTCAGGCAAGAGGTTCAGAGTCTTGGGGTATAAACTGTCATTTGATGCTTTTTATTGAAGTGATGAGTCTTTTCCTTGGAATCAACCTTAAAAATATTTGCGATTTTTATCTTCCTGAATAGGTTTCTGGGAATAGTAAGATCATGTTGATGAAGACAGCTTTCAGTTCATTACGGTTCTTCTATCTGGGGTGGGGATTGGTTGCTTTATTTTCAAATGAGCTAAGGTGAGGAAGCAGTGGTCTCAGCTTACCGTGGTAAGTTCATGTCCTCAGAGGCAGAACAAGGGGACTCTGAGATGGCCTTACTCAAGGGATTATCCAGGTGTTTGGGTCACTGGTTTCCCCAGTAAGCACCTGCGACTGGACAGGAAGATAAGTGGAGTATGGGCTCATGCGCCAGGGAAACGATTAATGTCATTGCTCCCACTGGAGTCCAGGGCTGAATAGGAAAAGACACATTTCTATAATTTCCTGGTGATACCACTGTCACCATCTGCTACAGTCTCTATTGACCCCATCACTCCACTCTTACTTTGCAGATCTTGGGTACCAGTCACCCCCCAGCATCCAGGCGGAGAGTATGGTGAGTGCTGTGCTTAAGCCCCAAACCCAGGACCAGCTTTCCAAGGAGAGCCTATCACGTGGTCCATTGCCTCAGGATGGGAGCACGGACGAGGAGGGCCCGCCCCAGACACAGATGCCAGCTGAACCTCAGAGCAGCTCTGCTCCCCAGCGGGGCCTAGAGAGCAGGGAGGCCACTTCCTCATCTGCCGGTGGCACCCAGCAGCATGTTCACCTGGTCAGGAAGTTACACAGCCCCAGTGATCAGTGTCCACTCGGAGCAAAGACCTCAGAGCCCAGGGCCCAGCAGAACGGAGAGCAGCACCCCAGCTTCTCTGCACACTTGGGGAGCCCTCCTGTCCCGATGGGAAGCTCCCCGAAAAGGGGGCGACAGTACCGGTGTGGGGAATGTGGCAAGACGTTCCTGCAACTGTGCCACCTGAAGAAGCATGGCTTTGTACACACGGGCCACAAGCCCTTCCTTTGTACGGAGTGTGGCAAGAGCTACAGCTCAGAGGAGAGCTTCAAAGCCCACATGCTGGGCCACCGCGGGGTCCGGCCCTTCCCCTGCCCACAGTGTGACAAGGCCTACGGCACCCGGCGAGACCTCAGAGAGCACCAGGTGGTACATTCGGGTGCCCGGCCCTTTGCTTGTGACCAGTGTGGCAAGGCCTTCGCCCGCCGGCCATCCCTGAGACTGCATCATAAGACACACCAGGTGCCACCTGCCTCTGCCTCATGCCCGTGCCCCGTATGTGGTCGGCCCCTGGCCAACCAGGGCTCTCTGCGGAACCACATGCGACTCCACACGGGGGAAAAGCCCTTCCTGTGCCCACATTGTGGCCGGGCATTCCGCCAGCGGGGCAACCTACGCGGGCACCTGCGACTGCACACGGGGGAGCGCCCTTATCGCTGCCCGCACTGTGCTGACGCTTTCCCCCAGCTTCCTGAACTGAGGCGCCATCTCATCTCCCACACCGGGGAGGCCCACTTGTGCCCCGTGTGTGGGAAGGCCCTCCGAGACCCACACACGCTGCGTGCTCACGAGCGCCTGCACTCGGGAGAGAGGCCCTTCCCGTGCCCCCAGTGTGGCCGCGCGTACACACTGGCCACCAAACTGAGGCGCCACCTCAAGTCCCACCTGGCTGACAAGCCCTACCGCTGCCCCACCTGTGGCATGGGCTACACCCTCCCCCAAAGCCTCAAGCGGCACCAGCTCAGCCACCAGCCCGGGGCATCCTCCAGCCCACCCTCTGCGCCTCCGGCTGCTGCTGAGCCCACCGTGGTCTTAGTACAGACTGAGCCAGAAGTACTGGACACACGCAACGAGCAGAATGTCTCCCCAACCCAGCACGTCTTCGAGGTCACCATTTCTGAGAGCCAGGATAAGTGCTTTGTGGTGCCAGAGGAACCAGGCCCCGCCCCCAGCCTGCTGCTCATCCATAAGGATGTGGGCTTCAGCCCCTGGGCGGAAGTGGTGGAGGTGGAGACAGGCACCTGACACTCGTCTTTCCCTAGCAGACTCTACATAAAGGCTATGTTTTCTAGGTGCTGGGTGTCTGGATCTTTTTTCTCTTTGGGTTGCCCGATAGAGATTAGAGTTGGCTAGGAGAAGCAGGTCAAGGACTTACAGGCCACCACCAACTTGTTTCCCAAGCTCCACTTATAGAGCTTGTTCAGAATCTAGAGAAAGGTACTCCACAAAGTGCCTATTGAAGCATTTCAGAAGTGACCTGCCCAGGAAGGTCGTCAGGTAGCTGGCAGCCTCCGCCCTGTGGGTTGCTTAGTGCTGGGGTAGTCACTCCCATCGAGCTCCCAGAGGGTCAGGCTTTTTTTTTTGGTCTGTCCTGAGTCCCTTCACCAGTGAACGAGGAAGCCAGAACTAAAATGCCTCTCGTTCTCCAGCTTCCCAGTACTCACAATGTCAGAAGCAGCCCCGT